TAGGTCAAAATCTAGGTCAAATTCATAGTTTTTCCTTATTTTTGCGATTCTGACATTACACTTCAATGATTTGCTTCGAAATTTTGCATACAGGTAGCAAAGAGTGTGCTTATAGTGTTAGCCTTCTGCCGTCAGAAAGTATTTTGACCCACTTTTGAGATATGGTGTCTGAAAAGTAGGTCAAAATAAAAAATTCTCCAGATTTAACGTATGAGTTATGAATTAAGGGTAGAACTTTCTCAGTAATCAGAATCTTTAAACCAAATTTCGATCCAACTTCTGATTAGATAGTTATAGCGGTTTGAAGTCTCGAAAAGTCGATATTATGATATCCCCATGTTAAGTCAATGGAGACGAAGATAACCTACTAAAGAGTTGTCTAAATGTATATATTCTAGATGACTCAGTTTATTCTGAATGGCTCAGCTTACAGTATTTTGGATGACTCAGCTTAAAAAAAAGTATGAAATCTGGAGTCTTAAATTGAACTTGTTCAATTTACATGTCTAGTTATTCTTTCTTTCCGAACACCTTTTCTCAGCAACTAGAAGAGCTTACTTAAATCTACTTACAGGGTCAGTAAGGAGATGAGACCTAGTTTCTGGGAAATTAGGTCAAATTTTTATCTAGGTCAAAGGTCAAAATCTAGGTCAAATTCATAGTTTTTCTTATTTTTACGATTCTGACACTACACTTTAATAATTTGCTTCAAAATTTTGTATGCAGGTAGCAAAGAGTGTGCTAATAGTGTTAGCCTTTTGCCGTCAGAAAGAATTTTGACCCACTTTTGAGATATGGTGTCCGAAATGTAGGTCAAAACAAGAAATTCTCCAAATTTAACGTGAGTTATGAATCCGAATCTGCAAACCAAAATTCAATCCGACTTTCGGTTCGGAAGTTATGGCGTTTTGAAAGCTCAAAAATCGCTTAATTTTGTGCCCCATGTTATGTCAATGAGAAAAAAGTTTTTTTTGAAGTGTAAAATACCAGATATAGACTGAGTATAGCTTAACATTCTGAAAGCCTATAAAAGAAGGGGACCTCGAAAGCTATCTAGCTTTAAAATGTGGACACCAAAATGCCTAGGTCAAAATCTAGGTCAAATTCATAGTTTTTCCTAATTTTTGCGATTCTGACATTACACTTTAATAATTTGCTTCAAAATTTTGTATACAGGTAGCAAAGAGTGTGCTAATAGTGTTAGCCTTTTGCCGTCAGAAAGTATTTTGACCCCCTTTTGAGATATGATGTCCGAAAAATAGGTCAAAAAAAAATTCTCCAAATTTAACGTATGAGCTATGAATTAAGGGTAGAATTTTCTCAGGAATCCAAATCTGCAAACCAAATTTCAATCCGACTTCCGGTCAAAAAGTCCTACTTACCTACCTACTTACCTACTCGGCTACCTACTTAGCTACCTACTCAGCTACCTACTCAGCTACTTACTCAGCTACCTACTCAGCTACCTACTCAGCTACTTACTAAGCTACCTGCTCAGCTGCTTACTCAGCTACCTACTCAGCTACTTACTCAATTACTTAATCATCTACTTACTCAGCTTCCTACTCAGTTACTTACTCAGCTCTTTACTCAAGTAAATCAATCTGGAGTCTTAAATTGAACTTTGTTCAATTTACAAATCTAGTTACATTACATTTTTTTGGAAGCGGGAAGATACGCCCCGAAGCGGGAAGATATGCACCGAAGCGGGAGATATGACGGGAGATATGGAGGTTCTTATATGGAAACCTCAAAATCAGGATACGGGATATATCTTACCAACTTATCTCCCTAAAACCCTACTTGGCATAGGATAAATCAAGATAATTTCTACTCGCATCTAGTCTATTCCACATATTTGGGAAAAGTGTACAGGAAAATCTCCATGTTCAATTGATGTATGATCAATATATACGAATCGAATGTATTCTCGTGTGCATTACAATATCCACATTGAAACATTTTTGGCCTGCAATGGACGTATAATAAATTAGAATATGAGGCCGTGTTATCATTCTAATGTAAAGTCATGGTATTTACTGTGGTATTGGGTTGCAAGCTAATATCAGATTCAATGCAAATTAATCATCTAATATCAGATGCGCGATCAGTCCAATAATCTAATTTCAGGTCATCAGTTCGATATCTAGCACTTGTTCTAACGACACGGTATTACTAGGCTATCATATTATAAATACACACACATATAAAACAATCAAACTGGTACACGATATAAGCACGACTGCTCTTTCAATTGAGTATAAATGTTGATAAACTCACCCGGAAGCCAAGACATACACGTTTAGACGATGCTATTTTCAGTTCAGTGTAAGAGTAAATGACCGGATATCGAGGCTTTTTCGTGTAAAGTTTTAACCAAGCATCTAAAATCGGGTTATATTGCGTGTAGAATTTATCGATATCAGGGCCGCTACATGCCAGTGTTAGTGCGTTGTGTAAACAAAAATTGTGTATACTACTTAAAGCATTCGGGTACAACATACCATTTGCGGGTATAGATGGCAGCATGTGGTAGGGCTAGATATACAATTGGAAAAATTCATAAAAGTCGCTTAATTTCTTAATTGAATATTTCCAAATGAATTAATGTTCAATGTCATACATCAAGGTGTTCTGTTGACGTGTGAATTGTGATTTAACCTTGAAATTGTGATCCTAAAAGAAAATTGTGTTAACAAAGATCTAACCTTACCTTTTTCAAAAAAGTTTAAAATCTTTCGAAATTGAATAAAATGAAATAACTGTGCAAATCAAAGTTCCATAAGTATGAAATAATGTAAAAATTATTCAATTATGTTATAAAACGTAAATCCTTTGTGGTAAAATATGTAATTTCTTAAAATCCCAATACAAATGGGACATCGGTGAGATTTCAAAGCTATAGCAAATGGTGAATTATACACACTGTACATGGAGACAAATATGTAAATATATACATGTATAAGATAAGATTGGATGAATCCTGTACATATGTTTGACATGAAATGTAACGGTTTCGACCACACAGAAATCAGTTTAGAATTTGTATATAATATCAGGTTAAAGATAGAATGGTGATGGACGACGGTCTCGGAAAAGAAATGTTTTCAAAGGACTGCACTGTATAATGCATGCACGTAATTACACAAAATCATTTACAAAAACTAAACATGATATTTGTATTGAAAATGATTAAATAAAACCATGATCTACAGTGATGTAATTTACAAAATTATATATTTTAATATGTTGAATCACGGATCCAGATACACATGTTACATTACATGTTACATGTTACATGGCCAAGCTATATTGCTGCTTGGTGGCTCTTCTGAAAGTGTAATTGTGTACAATTATAAATCTAACTTCAATACTGTAGGTGCGAGTAGAAATAATCTTGATTTACGTCATTAAATATTCAAATTTCAGTCCAACTAATGTCATATTTGAAATCTACGTGTAAAAGTACTTCTAGAAATATGGTTTCCAAAATTGTTTATCAACTTTGAAAATTAAATTTCTTTTGAAAATGTGACTTCTAGTTCGGGTTGATTCCCATAGATCCCATGTTACAAAATCACAAAAAGTGAAATATCTTTTCTTGTATTGGACAGATAACATTTTCCTTTTCTGGACATATTTTAATTTTCATAACTATTAAGTACATGAGGGTTATATGAAAATTGAACCACTAGAACAGATGTTATTTAAGTTTAAAGGAACTTTCTACTATACCCGCCATGCTATCTGACCCGAACGAGCCACCTGGTGGTGAAATTGGTAACTTCCTACTCGCATCTATAATATTCTAAGGTGCCCAGATATTCAATTTCGAATGTCAAATCACATTTTAAAATACTCAATAATTCTGTATTCAGAGAGAGATTTTAAACTAGTCATTATTTTTGATGTCACATCAGTTTGGTTGTCACATAAATATGTTAGCAGAGGAGTGCACCCTTGTGCCCTTGAAATTGTGAAATCGATGCGCTAATCAATTTCACTTAATCTTGGCCAAGATCAAAAGAACCATTTATCTGTTGTAAAATATAAAATGGCTTTACTTTGTTCTGACTGACTGAAATGATATTCATAGAATACGTGGCTTTGTGTGAAAACTTTTTCATGCAGCCAATTTCACTAATTATTTATTTTAAATACCAATTTAAAAAAATAAGTTTATCTACCCTGATCCTGAGTGACGTCACGTTTTGAATACGTTGGATCATTGGCTGAACGGTTATCTTATTTATTAACAAAAAAGCGAGTATTTCGTATTTTTATATGAGACATTTTCAATATCTTCTTCCTCATCGATGTGGCAGAGGTGAAACTGCCATCTTTCTTTGCCTCGGGAATGCACAATTAGCAAAATATTCTGCGTACTATTATTGATTTCAGCCCTTTATTCGAACATATGAGGGTGAATATGACGCTATTTTTCCTTGAGTTTGCATATAAGCCATACAAAGATAAAGATGTCAGCCTTGTCAGGATATTATATCATTGCGGAATCATGCTAGTTAAAATACGCATTCAATTCGTACTTTCCTATTACACTGGTACTCACCTAGTTACGCTGATGATACGTCAACGTAACAAGATGGAAGAACAATGTGACATGTGACAATATTCATGAAGATCGTCAACGTAACAAAAGCGAGGGCTTAATATGTGAATTGCGTATTCGTTAATATACCAAACATAGAACCGCCTGCATATTCTCAAACTAGACTATGTTCCTTCACTTTGAGCAAAATTATTGTCCACAACTTGACTTATAAGTGGTGTAGAATCGAGAAATAAAAATATCTTACCGAAAACGAAGCCCAGAAGTTCTTCCATCTTGTTAGGCTGACGTATGACGTACCGTCAGCGTAACTAAGTAAGTACCAGGGTAATAGAGGGCAATTTTTCAGGAAAATGGATTTTGAAGATGTATTTTTTTTTAAATATGACTTTTTATAGAAATTACCAACACAGTTTTCAATTTCAACCTTCTGGAAGATTCTGTCAGCTATCTAAGATCAGCGACATTATAAATAGCCTGAGATTTTTATATTTTTATTCTTGTTTCAAGTCTACAGAACATCGAATCAGCCGGAATACCAGACTGTACGTGATATGTAAAATTGTTCCACCAATATCTTCTACATGATAGCTTGGGCCATACGGACTATACCAGCATATGTTTCTTCGCAGGCAGGGGTAATCTGGCTAACTGGTAGAACGAAACCCCAGTAGCCCGTGTCTCGCAATTCTAATGTATATGAGTACTTGATACCTAAAAATGTATCAAACAAAAGTTTTTAATTTGATTAAAATCAAGAGGTAAAAGCTTTAAATATAATTTGAAACATTATAATAATATCGCTTTCTAAAATGTTGGAGTCGATAAGCAAAGATGTGGGTTATTTCGAATTCGAAACTATATTTACCAGCGACAGCCTTTGCCCAATCGTCACTAGCTCCAGCTGCAGCGTCTGGAAGACGAATAAGTCAAAATATTTAGAACATGCAAAGGCTCTAATGATCACTCAAATTAGATATTTATTGAGACGTTCACGAAAACGAACTATTCAAGATGGCCGAAACAGGAAGTACGTACACGTGTTTTTACGATATTTTGTCCATCAAGGTTTATGTCTTCCGTTTCAATTTTGTTATTAACATCTATCATTTATAATCACTTTGGTAATAGGAAAAGAAACATATTGAAATAGTTATTTTAGCCTTCTGAAAATATCATAGAAAATATACATTTTTTATTTCACAGATACATCACTAATATACTAATATTCTAATTCCCAAAGAAAATGAGCTTTAACATTTTGAATTCTTTAAAAATTGACAAAATATTTTTAAGTTTTAAGGAATGCGCTTTTCCTTATTTTGGCTGCCATTTTTGTCTGAGGCAATTTTTCTGAAATATATGATTTGTGCAATTTTCAGAAATTTTAGATTTGCGGTTTTCACTTACTTTTCCATCTTCATTCGACAATGCGCTATAAAACTTAAGTTTCTATTTTACACACACATCTATTTAATACAAGAAATGGCTTGTTAGGGAGTTTCAATATTTCAATTTCAATATACTGCAACTTACATAATACACGTGTGGAGGATCCAACAGTAAAACTTCGTCCGTTTACTCCTCTTATACCAGCAGCTCCCTCGTTTCCAACATATTCCTAAAGCATGAAATGAGATTAGTATTTGTGTAGTGTCCAAATCCTACTTTCCAACCTAATTTGTAACCATTGATTCAACTTCGTGTAATAGATACTTAAGGGATCCAGTCGTCAGTGACATTATCAGTGTCCCTCTTTGTAAAGTTTAAAAGGATGGTTTATGATACTATTTTAAGGAATTTATAAAATGTGGAATGTGGGGGTACTCACTGCTGCCCATGCCACTGCATACATTTCATAAGGAAAGATATGAATAGTCTTGCTTCAAGACCCTGGACCTCCCCCCCCCCCCCTATCTACTATACCCTTGTGTTGTGTTGGAGAAGTAGATAAGGGGGCCCACACTCCACAGAAAGACTAAGATATGAAGAAAAACAATACTCCGATTGAGGAACTTACCAAATCATTGTAATCTGATGGAAGATCCTCTGTATAACCCCAAGGTGTGAGAATATATTGACCATAGGCGTGGATTGATATATACATGTTTAGACTACTAGATTTGCTCAACATGAAATCCTTCATAGCTGTAGTCTCGGGCTCAGAGAAGGCTATTGACCCAGCATATGTATCTGAACATGGATTGGAACTGGCACCCGTCACTACAAAGTAAAACAATGGCCCGTCGTGAGAGCTAAAAGGATGGGCCTAAGTATAGATTCATAAACTTAAGGGATGATTTTGTGACTTCCTTTTGGCATTTATACTTAAGATCGTGTACTACATCATCACGTATCGCATACACGGATACACCTATAATGGTCATTTCCTTTTAAAACACCGTTAAAGTGCTTTAAAATGCAATAAGAGACACGTACATGTAGGTTGGTGCAGCCGATTTCAGAGGGTTTATATAAGTTGTTAGATAACTGATGACGAAAACAAATACAAAGCTCATTTCAATTATAGCCTGATATGAAGTCGAGGTAAATAATTTGTAAAGAAACATGTTACAGGAAAGCACAATGGAATACGTACACATCCACTTGTAGTCCCAGTTGCGGTTAGGATCTGCCCCGAAGCATGAGGAGCCAGAGTTTCGACTGCGAGTTTTTCTCCATAGCCTATCCTGTGAGAAAATATCAGTCGTTTAATGTGCAAACAAGCAATTCATAAGCAATAAATGTACACCGTGAATGAAACACTTTTACTGGGATACTTTTATCAAAAGTAGCGGTCAATAGTACATAGAAGCGGTCAACAGTACAATCATATTGTTGACCGCCCATCAACCAATCAGAATTGAGTATTTTCGGTCAACAGTACTTTCAAAGTCTACAGTATCGGTATACAATTTTGCCAGTTGACCTCAAATGAGGTCTACAATTGTATACTGTACATGTATGTTGTACTATAGGCAATGTTATATCCTACGAGTGATCAGTTTTAGGATGAAAAGATGATTGTATTACTCTAAATTAGTCCTATGAGAAAAACTAATAGTATTTAAATCTTTGTTATGTTTTCTATGGAAAAAATTATTTCAATCGAATATAAAATAATAGTTAAAAGCCTGAAGCCAGTTGAATTCATTTGTAAACACTACTTACATAAACGTAGGAATATTCGTAACCATCTGGATTGGAACTTGGAAGAATGTACCAGTCAAAAGCATCTACCAGAGACCTAACAGTGCTATCACTGTTGTAGCTGTTGACAAGCTGGAAAGAGATGATATTACACATTTACCAGCTCGCTACTACATTCACAAGCTAGCGCTGGAAGAGAAATATTATACAATTACCAGAGCTCAAAAGTTGCTATAACTATAGCGTCATAACTGCTTCATTATTCGTTTGTAATGAATTCCCTTATTGGAATATTTGTGTAAAATTTACAAATAAAATATCTAAATTACAAATACATGTCTTATGTATCAAATAGACAAATGGGTCCTAAAATCGGGTGCATTTTATGTTTGTAAGGACTAGAAATATTATTTATAACTAAAAATCAATTTTTATTCGCCAACTACAGCTTATAATCCTTAAATTTTAAAAAGTTGCCTGTTATTTTATCGAAGAAATGTATTTTTACGAATAATAATCTTGCATGTTATCCATGAATGATTGTAGAAAGCAGACATAATCGTACATTAGCGAATAATAAAATGTGAGTTTACGGATACAAATGTGAGTTAACGAATAAAAACTGCAAGTCTCGAGACATATGTATGTATGTCACGTTTTAAGTGTGTGTAGGGTATGGCCGGGGGTGATAACTTTTACCATGTCTTGATCACGTCTCATTGAGAATGATCACGTGATCTTAATGAACCAATGAAAAGCGATTCAAACATGACCGTGCTCTATTCGAATTTCTCAACCAATCAGAATGCAGCATAGCCAATATAGAACGTTCTCTAATTATCCATAGATGCACGACCATGCTCTATTCAATCTGCAATTTGCATTGTTTTTAGTGACGTCACATCTCAGCTGCACATCTGGGGCTCTGTCCGGGGATAGCTGTTCTTTTTTACTCCCTCCGTAACTACTGTAACTATTAACTATGGCTGACTTCAAGCAAGGGCGTTACAATACCCGGGAATTTATCGGTTCGTGCAGTACTTGTTTGTGATAGCGCCCTATGTAGGTCACTGTGCTTAATAGCCTACAGTAATACGGGGTAGGATATTGGGAATTCGGTCAGTTTCCATCCGTCGATTACGCTATGAATTGAAGCAAGTGTGACCACTTCATCCACTTAAACAATTTGATAATTGATTAAATCTTTAAACAAAATCGATAAACACGTTATACACTTCTTATCTCCTTAGAAATTAGCATGTATTAATGGATTGTGTTTTCGAACAAGGCTCGACCCAGACCAATAGGGAAATCCTTATGCTAATTAGTATGACGTCATATTTTCCTGGGGAATCCTAGATTTCAAAGCATCAGTCTGTTCAGCTGGTGATTCGGCATTAACGTGAAAACTACGCGAAAATCGTGCTTTTCTACAGAATATAGTCCCGCCTCGAAAAATCATGTAAAATGACACCTGTGCATAAATTGATATTAAATATTGATAATCGTAATGGTTTTGGCTGATATTTAAAGAAACGTTTGGAGATATCGGGATGTAACTATATTTCACAAATAAGAAGCTAAATAAGGTATGGTGGGTGAGAAAGAAGACCTCAAAGAGAAAAGTTTTGAAACTGGGTTTCGATAATTTGGAAAATTGGGGTCGTATACATGTTTTGGGCATTTTTTTCTGAGATTAGTTATTTTTGTGATTTTAGTAGAAAAAGCACCCCACTTTACTCGCGGACGTGATTTAAACGTTTTATTGCCCATTCTTATATATTTCTTGAGTTATCAGCCATTAAGTCAGCAGTAATTGATTTTCAGAAAAAATGTTAATTCTCAGGGATCGATTTTGACATGGTCCCCTGCAGTTGTAAACACTCAATCTCGGATGAAACCCGTAGTTAGCCCAAGGGCGTTACAATACCCGGGAATTTATCGGTTCGTCCAGTACTTGTTTGTGATAGCGCCCTCTGTAGGTCACTGTGCTTATAGCCTACAGTAATACGGGGTAGGATATCGGGAATTCGGTCAGTTTCTATCCGTCGATTTCGCTATGAATTGAAGCAAGTGTGACCACTTTATCCACTTAAACAATTTGATAATTGATTAAATCTTTAAACAAAATCGATAAACACGTTATACACTTCCTATCTCCTTAGAAATTAGCATGTATTTATGGATTGTGTTTTCGAACAAGGCTCGACCCACCCCAATAGGGAAATCCTTATGCTAATTAGTATGACGTCATATTTTCCTGGGGAATCCTAGATTTCAAGGCCTCAGTCTGTTATTGTGTCAAATGTAAACGCTCTTGGGACGCTCTTTTGCAGACAGAAAATTGACAGATTAGCTTTTAACTTTCAGCTTTGATGTTTAAATATTCTGTATTTCTACCGGACTTCTTGCTGAATATCATATAATGTTATAACTTGATTTGGATCATTGCCTGATTGATCATTCTGAAATTTTGATTGTGATTCATGATTGATTGGCAAGAAAAATAATTCCTATTGTTTTCCAGCGAAGTCAAAATGTTACAGCATGAGTTATAATGTCGAGTTTGCATCATGTTAAATTCTGCTAGTGATTAGAAGTCCATGCACAAGCATACACATAAGAGACAAACACACCCAGGCTCCAGGCCGTGGATGGAAATATAAAACTATTTAAGGCACAAACTGGTATTAATAGACCGATATGTAGTGTCTGCCATGTATTGAAGGTAAACCAATCTGTATTATTAATGTTTCTTCTATCAATACATGGGTTGTGCAATAGAAAAGCAATGGCACAATCAAAAATGTGCATATCAATCGTGAATATCTCTCGGTTCAAAGCTTATTTCCAACAGAATCGTGTCAAAATATGTGTCTGAGTAACAGTTATACATTATAAGATCGCAAACTCTTACTAATTATCAGCCGAATGGCTCATTTTCAACGAAATGTCCTTAAGACAACAGCCCTGGGTCGCGCCTGAGACCAAAAACTACTTCAAATAGCCCTCCCCTAATTATATTGGATAATCACATTTATGCGTGCGCGCGCAGCTCATCCAATGAACGAAACGCCACTTCCCGCTGAAATCACCGGGTATTGATCTTTCCCTTGGTTAGCCGATACAAAATAACCAATAGATGATAAAATTGATGTGTAGTCCCCAATCCCCGCATTAAGTTTTTGTTGGGAATTGATTTTTTCACGTCGAAAAAAATATGTGATCAGAAAATCAGCAAGATGACAAAAAAAATATGAGGGAACATTAGTTCAGAATGTTTTGGGCAAATTTTTTTCTTAGAGATCTGTGGTTAAAAATCTATTGCAAAATAAAATGTAGTCTAAAATACACATGATGTGTAAATATAAAAATATCTGGATAAATACTTTTGTCAGGAGACTTGTATCAATTACGGTTCAGTCATCTTGTCGTGTCAAAATTACCCAAAATGGTGAAGCCCTGGGTTTTGAAGAGGGTCGTCTTTCGACTCGAAGTTTTCAGTATTTTTAGCCTTTTAGCAACTAATTCTTGAATTCAACGTATGCATATGATCTAAATACGTAGAAGTCAGCCGTACTGTGCATCAATTCGAAGTTCTTATACCAATTTGAAGCCATCATCTGGAGCGGTTTCTACTCTTGAATCCGCCAAATTGCTGAAATGCCAAAGGACCTTCTTAGGTCACGTGACCTGTTTTTTAAATTTTGCATTTCAGCCACAAAACAACAACATCGGTCATTCATAAATTGTTTGTGGGTGGGTTTTAGCACCAACTTGGCATTACTATACTGAAGATCAAGAGAGAATGTCAAACAAAACAATAATCGCTAACTGTTTCATCATTTTTTAGTTGATTTCAAGGGGTCTTTCTCTTTCGTTCGTAATTTTAAAGTATCGATGGCGCTGAAAACAAATTGAACTGGCTCAGCCTATTTGTACAGATTTAGAGTAGATTCATGGATATTTAGATCAATCGATCATGTTTACTGGATTCAGAGATTCCAGGGGATTACGATGGAATTCACGGCTTTTAAGTAAGTGTAGTATTTCTGTTAGAAAACGTAGTTTAAAAACACATAATTTGAAATATGATGGTGTAATTTTTGATTTTTGAAATTCTTTTAAGTTCAGGAGGCAATCATCAAATTTCAGTGTATTTTATTGCACATAGGATTCTAGAAATTTAATCAAATATTGATGTGATAATAAATATTGTATATTTGATGTAAATAGCATCATGTCTTGGAGTTCAGCTCACTGTCAGACCCATGTCGTTTCAAAATTAGGGACCGTATTTTGGGTCATATTGCGCATGCGCAAAACTATTTATATATAGCTATTTCTTCTTGCATTTCCAGAACTCCCTGATTCTGCCTCTGATTCATTGTGCCTACTGCCTACCAGTTTTACTTTGTGGGTTTCAATGTCATCCTCCCTCTCTGTGCGGTAATGCCTCGGTCATATTTGTGACTTCCCAAGACTAAATTTGCTTGCTATGTGAGTATAGGTGTAACCTTACATGTGTTATGCAAATTCAAGAAATTAATGCTGAACAGTAACAGTGTTTGTTTGTTTGCGACAAAGTCAAGGTAGTTCCATATCAAAAAGTTTGGAATATTTCTGGACCTCAGTCCTGAGTGTTGAGCGAACATTAATTAATTATATTATGGTCACATAAGCTCTCGGGGTAGTTAGACTATGATCAGAAATACACCAAACAGGAAATGAAAAACCATGTGGATTTTAGAGTTTTTTGAAGTAAAATAACAGGCAAGATTTCTATTGGTTGAGGAAATTCTGTAAATACGACAAATGCAGAAGGCAACGGGAGATTTTCACAGGTTGTTATCACCCAAATCGCCTGTTGTTTTTAGGGACTTTTCAACTTTTCCATTGTTAAATTCATGATTTTTCCATTAATTTTGCCTGTTGTTTTCATTTATAATTTTTTCAGAATACCATTTTTATTTACTCAGTGATATTGATATCACTGGGTTGTTATCACCCAAATCGCCTGTTGTTTTAAGGGACTTTTCAACTTTTCCATTGTTAAATTCATGATTTTTCCATTAGTTTTGCCTGTTGTTTTCATTTATAATTTTTTCAGAATATCATTTTTATCTACTCAGTGATATTGATATCTGGTTTGCTTCGCTCTCTCATGTAGATCACCTCGTAGATAAAAATGATATTCTTCAAAATCAAAGAATATCCTGAATAACATGATTTACAAAATAATAAAAATAATTTATACAACTTTTTCAGGAAATTGTGTCAAATGTAAACACTCTTTTGCAGACAGAAAATTGACAGATTAGCTTTTAACTTTCAGCTTTGATGTTTAAATATTCTGTATTTCTACCGGACTTCTTGCTGAATATCATATAATGTTATAACTTGATTTGGACCATTGCCTGATTGATCATTCTGAAATTTTGATTGTGATTCATGATTGATTGGCAAGAAAAATAATTCCTATTGTTTTCCAGCGAAGTCAAAATGTTACAGCATGAGTTATAATGTCGAGTTTGCATCATGTTAAATTCTGCTAGTGATTAGAAGTCCATGCACAAGCATACATATAAGGCCCATAAGAGACAAACACACCCAGGCTCCAGGCCGTGGATGGAAATATAAAACTATTTAAGGCATAAACTGGTATTTAATAGACCGATATGTAGTGTCTGCCATGTATTGAAGGTAAACCAATCTGCATTATTAATGTTACTTCTATCAATACATGGATTGTGCAATGGAAAAGCAATGGCACAATCAAAAATGTGCATATCAATCGTGAATATCTCTCGGTTCAAAGCTTATTTCCAACAGAATCGTGTCAAAATATGTGTCTGAGTAACAGTTATACATTATAAGATCGCAAACTCTTACCAATTATCAGCCGAATGGCTCATTTTCAACGAAATGTCCTTAAGACAACAGCCCTGGGTCGCGCCTGAGACCAAAAACTATTTCAAATAGCCCTCCCCTAAATAATATTGGATAATCACATTTATGCGTGCGTGTGCAGGTCATCCACTGAACGAAACGCCACTTCCCGCTAAAATCACCGGGTATTGATTTTTCCCTTGCTTCAAGTTTGCAGTCGGTGAACTAGTCTTATTTTTTTGTACGGGGAGTAAAATAGAACAGCCCAAACAAATTCTAAAATTTTTCCGGCCGACTTCAGAATCTTGACTGCATGCGTATTCTTCCTTCATGCCCGTTCCACAGACACAGTTTTTACTAATTTTTATGTTTGAATCGGAATAAATAATGATAGGCCATTCAATATGGTGAAATTCAGCACTCGTTGGACAGAATGTTAGTACAAATGCACTCACCTTCGGTTCGTGCTTTGTACAACATTCTGTCCAACTCGTGCTGAATCATTATTTATTCCTTAAATATATAAGTGCAATTTACGAATACAAATGACAATATTTACGAACATTAATGTGAACTTTTACGAAAACATATTACCTTGTGACGAAAATAAATTCGACAATTAAAAAATGAAATGCCAATGATAGAACTTATCTATTGATAAAGTTGACATTCAGTTCGTAGATGTTAAACTAATATATATGCAGAAGCAAGGATAAAGGTACAACATGAACTCTTTATTTGTACATATACATACAATATGGTTATGCAATGTGTCACTTACAAATGCTTCAAAGGACTTTTGAGCCCCCTCTTTCGTCAGATTTCTCAGAAAATTCTGGTAAAATCACCAAGGTTACACAGGACTATATTCTAATAGTAAAGTGAATTAGTCACAATGGTATAAAACAATGCTATACTTGAGAAAATGCACGGGGAAGAATCAATCCTTATCGACACAGGTAGGTGGACAGCTAGACATTTATATCAATGTATAATGTGTTTTATATGTCTCTGGCTTACAGTACCTTAAACCTGACTCTTTTAGTGGTTATATTATTAAGGAAGCAATTAATTCAACGCAAGAGACTTCTCTGCAACTCGTCTAGCTTGTAATCTGAGAGTATTACATTCATGGTAGTGTTTTTGAGATTTGTAATTACTACTAAATGTACGGTATCCAATTTATACAAGTTAGAACTAAGTAACTTAAATGTATAGTGTGTCATTTCTAAAGATCAATTAGATAATTCTATACTACTTTTAACAAGTAAAGGCACTATCTGTATACGCTTTCATATTGTCTATTATGCAATTATCTTCATTGGTTGACTGCTTCATTTCCCTGCTCTTCATGCTTCATTTTCAAGAACAATTTGATTTTGGAAAATACATGTACAGGAAACTAATCAAGAATATCGCATTCAGGATGTTCTCAAGTTACAAAACATTATTAAACGGGATAATTGTTATTTGTGAAATAGATATTTTGAAATTGGAATATCAATATCAGACTGCTATATTATACATTTTTTCTGAGAAACCTATTGGGAATGGTACATAAGTGCTTTTCTGAAAATTGCAATGTTAGAAATGTGGTAGAAAAAAGTATATCAGACTTTTGGTATCAGACTTGTTCTTATATTTTGAGGCATGACTAAACTTAGAAAATTGTTCTGTCAAATATCATCATGTCACATGATTTGCCGTCACATCTCTGGTGTGCGTTGACCTTTCTAATCCAATAACACGTAAATATATTAAATATTCTCAGGTCCATAAATTTGAATGAAACAATATGGCAGCGTTTTTGAACTGCCCGCGGTGCAAGTCAATTGCTTCATAGTTTGCTTTAAAGTTTTCCCCCTGTGTATCACGAGAAATAACTTGGTGGTGATATAAGAAGATCATTAACAAACTCGTATATTGAGGCATGGGCTTTCAACAAGCCCATGATTGAGGGTACCATATAAAAATTTCAAATATGGAGTCTAAAACTGACTTTTGGGAACGTGGAAGTCATTATTGACACCCTGTATATTTACTTGAACCTGAAACTCGAGCCACAAGAACCTAAAGCCCAAACAAATGAACTTGAATTTATTCTATTGGTTCTTATTTTGCTCTTACCTTGTCGATGAGATAAAGGGAGGCGGCTGGCGAGATCCACTCTCTCGCATGTATACCAGCGTCAACCCAAATCGCCTTGGAGTTACTAGAAGAACTCTTTCCGATCTTAAAAAGAGTTCAGAGCAAAAGTCATGGATGGAATACATTTGTATCATGGAAGTGATTTAGCTGGAAAAGTCATTATTAGCATTCTGAATTGAAAACAAAATGGACATGTCAATCTTGGTAAAATTAATTTTACTTTATCAAGGATTATAAAATTCATTACAAGGAAAAATGGGCGTATTTGTATAACGTTCCAGGGGTTCGAAATCCAGTTTTGCCGAATTGCGAAGGAAATCTTAGTCTACCTGAATTTTGTCGGAAATTAAGAAAATAGGATGGTCAAAACCTGTATTGCTCATATCCCTATATTTAACGCTGCCTCTGGTCAATGAGACGGGTCTGAAGAGTATTATATTCAACAATAGGTACCTTGATAACTTTCAGTGTCCTGCCATTAGTACTTGTGCCGATATTTTCAATGCTGCACCTGCTTCCACAGCTTGATGCAGTACTGTCCAACCAATCGTTGATCTGAAGGTATACAAAGCATATCATTACAAAAATTGTCGTGTTTGAGTTCTTTTGTTTGTGTCATTAATTTTATTCTTGTGAATCGGATTCAGTCGCTTATCTTTAGACCTGTACTCACATCGTCGTGTCTGTTATATTGCGTAAGACTAAATGCATAAGATGTAGCTTCGGTAGACTCATATGAGGAATCAATCATACTGGAAATAGAGATAAAATGGTAATTATATGGTAAGAATGAAGCTGATGTTGCAGCCACGGGGTATGATGGAATATGAGTCAGAAATACATGCACCTCGACCTCTATTGCGTGTTGTATCATAATCGTAGATTATTGTTCTGTTATTGTGTTATATATAACCCTTGAATGATATTGTACATGATATGGTATGATAAAGTATGTTTTTCTTGGGTCACTGAGTATGCATATGTCATTGGTGGCAGTGTTGAAATATAAAATATTGATCTACCGCCGGTTGGTGGAGCTGTAAAGTATTTTTGCTTCATGTGCTTGGGACAAGTTGTTAAAATACAAATTTCAGTTTACCTCTGTAGATCGTGTATTACGATGGAGTATGGGATAGCATGTTGCTTGAAAAAGCGCTCGACATTGCCTCGAGCCCTTGGTGAAACGCTGAGGGTTACCTCTTGCCCAGGGGTCTTGGGTCGTCTCCATACGTCAACCTATGAAACATTGATCCAGTATACTCGTACCTATGTTCAATTACGTCGTAGTGGGGCGATGTTCTATTACAGGGTGACACAAAAATGCCACCCACTTATTTTGGAATAACTTTCTTTATATAGGCATCTTCATGATTTTTTGTGTGTAGATAGAATGTTCAGTGGAAGAAAGATTGACATGATTGCATAGCATCAACAATTTTGAGATCTAGAGATAGCACATTTCCATCCGTCTGTGCTCTCGGTGAAATCGTCAATACATTTTCAAAATACAATTTTCTGAAATTTCTAGATTTCTAGTCATAGCCATTTCTGGATTGCGTCCACATATTGAATATCATCAATATCGTCATATCTACCCATTACTCGAAATGATTTTGTCAAAGATTAATACTGACTCGCTTATTGGGTCAATGTTAAAGAAGACAAATTTATACTTTTGAGTGATTTTGTCTCAGAGCAATAATGTCTCGTCTCAGGGGAAATGGGATATCTCTTAAATTCCAAGTTGTTGATGCTAGTATGATACAAGCATACCAATCTTTCTTCTACTGAACACTCTAACTACACTTGAAAATCATGAAGATTCCTTCATTATTGAGAAAGATATTCCAAAATAAGTGGGTGGCATTTTTGGTGTCACCTTGTATTTGCGCACGAGATCGACATACTTGCCTACAATTCTAGAAATTAATTTGTGAGACTACTCAGACATTCTATTTCAAACACCACAAACAACTGATCAAAGCAATGTGTCAAATCGTAAATGAAATTAATGTCATGAAATAATCTGGAAAATGCTTCAAATGGTTGTCGCTCTAAAATGTCGAAAAAGAACCATTTGCAATTAGCCTTGGGCATATGTCTAAATCATGTGGACTAACCGGATCCTAGCTAGTATATTTTGTCAATGATACCGCCGAGTACAATATCAAAAGGTCTTATGAGTACAGTGGTATTTTTATAATATCTAGTTGCTCACCCCCAAGTGTTCCAAAACCTCAAGTCTGTTGATGAGCTCTGCCTGGTCACGTGTGCCTGGTAAAGCCTTGTAAATCTTGTGACTGGAATCATAATTTATAAATATAATACTACTAGGACTTACTATCTATACTTATAACTTCGAAGACTTAATCAAATGTGCGATATTACGAAATTGTTTATTCTTCAATTGGAATCTGTTCATTTTTCTGGTTTAGTTCAAAAATATAATATAATATCGGAGTTTTTATAACTAAACCTGTGGAAATGAACCTTCAGTAAATTGCCTCCTGCAGTCTGATTTTGCCTCGCCTATTTATTTTGCTTCACTTACGACAGATTTTAGATTCTGGTTACACCCCTCAATGAATGCCAATGCATTACTTAAAGAAAAAGCACTCATAGAGATGACAAAATAATTTCGACTTTGAGACAGGGAAGATGCAAACAACCCACCCACTTGTTTTTTCTGAAATGTTGTCCTGATTTTCAACCCCTTCCACCCCTGCTTTTTTGTTGCATCAATATGTTGCTTTTTGACACACAAGTAAGAATACGTAATTCCTTCAGGGGTTTTAAAAGTATTCATTATGGGTGACCAAAATTAGCTGAAAGCAATTGATCGCATAAGTTTTCCCTATGGGAAAATAACATGGAAAATATTGCTTTCCACTTTATCGAAGAGGAATCACTTATTCCTTTTAAGGGGTTATCTGTGTCTTAAAACGCAACATATTGATGCAATGTAAATTGAAAAAGCAGGGGTAGAAGGGGTTGAAATTCAGGACAACATTTCAGAAAAACATGTGGGCAGGTTGTTTGCATCTTCCCTGTCTCAAAGTCGATATTATTTTATCATCTCTATAAGTGTTTTTCCTGGAGATAATGCATTGGCCTAACATATGCACCTGTTTAAAACCTCAGAAAATAGCAGAAATATATGACTGTCCGAAATATGTTGCGATACTTACCCTCCTCCTTTGAATGGCAATGTATCATATAAAACATGAAAAAAGCATACCAATGCAACAAACATATTAGCACTAATATAACGTATTCAGATGAAAATCAAGAGCTACATAATATGAAACTCGCAATTAACGATATAAAATACAATCTAATGATTCCACGATGGAGGAATGCCAGCAATTGCAATGAGTAAAATGTTGATCTTAAATTAGCTACATCTTGGTTTTGTTCCACCCAGCGTCCGATGTCAGTTTCTAGGAGAATATCAATAGAAATCACTTAAAGACTTCAATATCAACTTGTAACGCTGGGCGATAGAGATTAATAGCCCCCACGATTGCTTGATTATTATGTTGATACGGCAATGTAACATAGTGGATATTCGATGACACATAAGTCAAAGCAATTTATGCTTAGAATTATTTTTCATGAAACTGGTGCATTTTTGTATTCACGAAATTCACATTTTTGTATTTAAAGTACCGTCGATCGTGTTTTCTAGAATTTCTGATTAGCAGTGGATATTGACGAAAAACGAGGGACTTTTAATACACCTTGTGTAATAGTGGTGGGTACCGTATAAAGGTTTAGTCCTTGGGTATACCCATCAAAAGTGTCAAAAATCTTCACTACCAATTGTCTGGATGTCGGCTATGTTTCACTCTATAAATTCAGTATAAATTATATCGCAAGAATTCGTAATAATTATAAGTAAAAATATTTTTTTAGAAAAGTAGTATAGTAAGAGTTTGCCTTTGCATCTCAAAAAGTACTTTGTTAATAAACGCAATCGACAGTACTAGGCTATGGTAGTGACGGTAAATTTGGTTTAAGGATTTAAGCACTGAACTCAACTTGCATTGTGGACTAAATATCTTTCCTCAGAGGTGTTGTTTCAAACTTTGCACAAGATTCGCATAATCGAGTGTTGGGTTCAGGTTTAGTTAATGATACAACGTCCGAGTGGAATGAATCAGCCATAATCGATTACGTTTTGGGCTTAAATTTTTTTCACACATTGCAAGATACGAAATTACCAAAAGGAGATATTTTCCGCGGAGGCATGCTCTGACACATAATCACTCAAAATGTAAATTAGAAAATCTGTCTTTTTAAAATTTACCCAATACGCGAGTCAGTTCATCAAATCTGACAAAATTATTCAAGAAAAATGGCAGATAAGACATATCAATGATAATTTATGTGAAAGCAATTCAGAAATGAGTCAAATAATGGTTAAGACAGAAAGCTTTCTCCAAATCGAGACCTTTCTTTTATTGAATCGGTCTACTGCACGCCTACGGCTGCTTCGGACAATATTGATATTTTTACATCTTGTAAATTTAAATGTCCTCTTTTGAATATCCATAATTTAATTTGGGTGATATTTCTGTATTTTTATAAAAATAATTATTAGCTCGGGAGCCTGTACTCCAAACCGAGACTTGTCCTTTCAGAAAATTGTATTTTTGAACATTTTTGACGATGTCACCGAAAGCATTGGACGGAAAACGTGGGATAATAAATCGCAAAGTTGTCGATGTTCTTCATTTGAACACTCTATCTACACGCAAAAAATCTCGAAGAATCCTTCATTATTGAGAAAGATATTCCAAAATTAGAGGGTGGCATTTTTGTGTCACCCTGTATGTGTGAATTCAGGATAATGACATGCATATCAGTTTAGTACAATATCATAGAAAATAACATTCTTCACCCTGCGATATTCCATAAGCAAAATATGTATCATGGCCTATTTCTTGGTGATTAGTGGTTTGGGACATCATTTATCCCGATGAAAATGTACTATAAGTATATCCTTATATATTGCATGAAATCTCAAATTTCTTAACTAATCTTTATTTCTGCATCATAGAATAGAGAAACTAGGGTAATTTAGATCAACTTCGTATCATTTTTCAAACATATTATTTCATAGAAATATTAATTACGATATGTATATATACCACAGATTTTTAATTCAAAGATACATTAACGTATTAAATTACGATGTAGGTTGTATCAAGTAAAATTGAGGTAACTTAGGTTTAATAATGAAATTCTCACTTTTCACAATTCATAAAACATAATTTACTCTTATCTAATCACAACTGAGGACAGTACCATATTCAAGTTTTCTTAGATTTGGTAAAGGATAAATAATGAGCCTCGGGTATTATGTGAAATAATAACCAAGGGCCGAAAGGCCCACGGTTATTATATTCTAATAAAACCCATGACGAATTTTCTTTCTAACTTAAACTCCACATTGACTCTTTTGAAAATTAAATGGTCCATGATACATTTTGGAAAATTTGATTTCTCTAGTATTGCCTATTCAACTGAAGGTATTGCAAATTGATATATTTAATTAAGTGGGTTAGTAATGGGCAATAGTGAGTTCAGCTTTAGTGCACTGCATGTGACAGTTCAGGTGCAAACATTGACCAACATCGTCTTTTGTGCCAAACTGGTTTTGGATAGAATCCCAAGTGTGCATTCTTTAAACACAGTAGAAAAATAATGCACTCCTCTTTGTTACAGCTGTATATTCTTTAAATAAACTACAATTCATTCTATTGTGTCGCAAGGGTTTGAGAACTTTGAATACTCTGAACTACTCGTGTAAGATTTTCAGAGCACAACCAGAACGTTTACCTTACTTCCATTTACTTTGAATTTCAAACTTATGGGTATATAGTGCCGACCCTATTAATTAATGTTAGACAATTTTAGTAAACAAATAAATATAAAACGTATTTAGTACATATAGACACAATATCCAGGCAAATTTTCTAAATCGACAATATGATCACGAATGATTTTATCTAAGATTTCTAAATATGAAATAATTTGCGATTGCGTTTTATCAATGCTTCCATTTTCCACGAAATAATTTCAAGATCAATCTGCAAACGCTTGAAGTGGACTTGCTTTAAAATCTTTTTCAAAAATCGAAATTTTGTCCTGATGTGCTGTTACTCATTAAATATTGTTTTAGTTATCTAAACAAAATTCCAATTATCATTGAAACAATTTTTATGTAATGACAAAGAACATTCGGATGAATAATGAATGAGCAATATTTCCAAACTTTACATGAGCCTTGAACAGTTTGCGCCAACTCAAATACACTATAGATCTTGTTTTGTGTTTTTCAAATACAATTTTACTACATATGTCACCAGTATCAGTCACTAGACCAGTTCTTTAGTTAATTAGCCTGTCTAGCCCTGGTTGGATGTCCTGGTGTAATGGGATTTTGCATTTTTACAAAATACAGAACTACCACTGCGTTATTAATTTTAAAAATCTATATAATATATTCGTATAACAGAAAAGAATATACATACCCACGGTACGACTTTTTTACTGGTGGTTTCTCCGGGGCAGAAGCCACCAGAGTAAATCCTATAGCCAATATCAGGATATGACAAAGCAGCCCCATGACTGTAAACTAACTCTCTTATCCTTTAATAGACACCACACTGAATACGTTGCCGTAAACTTTTACAATCTTATCAGATAGACGGTTATCTTGAGAAGCAACGTGCTTGTGCGATTTCAACAATTAATTAAAGAGTACGATTAACTGCGTCATATATCCCACCATACCAACATTAATTAATGATCGCAACATCCCCAGAAATTCACTTCATTTCCCAACAAGATTGCTCTACGAGTCCATCGACTCATATGTATGTTTTTCATTAATAAAGGTGATGAAAAACTGTACTACACGTATATAACGAAAAATATTCAACATTTTTATTTCAGAACTCCTTTGAATATCTATGTGTGCCCTTTGAATCGAAACCTAATACGGGACATAATTTTTTTAAATTTTCATCAAGAGAGAGATCGTGACGATGAAAAGCTAACAGCATCTGCTCCAGTGCTGTCTCTAGCAACAATCCCCTTCAGTCGTTAAGTCAACTCCAGAAGTATCTTAGCTAATCAGTGGAAACTGGATAACTTATTAGCTACTACTAGTGTAAAATTTTCTATAATTGCTCTATCTGAGACCTGGCTTAATGCATCAAATGTTTTTTTATAGTGTATATTATATCAAAATTAAATTATTGAAGTTATCGGGACTTGAACGCATGTCAATTTAGGAAAACTCAGAAGCCAGTCTTTTAACATTGAAACATTTGAACAAGATTGAAGGAACGTTCATGGCAAGGAGGATTGGCTCCCAGAATCGAAGTCGATATTTTCCAACAATGAGAACGCCGAAATGTCGTTATTTTCTGAAATTATAACCGATTATAAATTCAATATAAACAGTCCAAAAGATTCGAACCAATATCTCGATCATTTCTTGTGAGTTTTGGAAATTTTCGTTTGAAAATAAGACCAAAATTCACGATTTAAATGTTGAAGTGAGCCTGAAGTGAGCAAAATGGCGGCTGTTGGGATACAATTTTGTTGCACGACATCTCCAGATACATGCAGTATGAGATGTTGCACTCTGGGAGCCAATCCTCCTTTTGGTTCATGATTTACCCAGCATAGTGTAGTCAACTCAACACAAGATATGATATAATTAGTATGATAGGGGTCTGTGTCAGGATAAGTTCATTTTGAATAAAGGTCATTTAATTGACAAAATATCACCGCCTACTGGAAAAGAATAACGAAATGAATGTAGCTATAGATGCCGATTGTGAATGCCAATCACAAAATGGCGGGTATACCAATATGTCGCCTGGTGGTGACACAAAATATGAACAAATAAAAGTCGCCATTTTGACTATATTGATTCTGATGGTGGGAAAAAATGCAAGAGACAAATTATACTCGTATCCCATTATGGTTGTGTCATTTTAGAATTTTCTATAATCTTATCATCCATTCTATAGAATATTAAGACACAACATGTAAAGACCTTCTGAATTTGTTGGTGGAATGCAAACTGTGGAAATGTGGATTAGCATCTTTGAAGCATGTATAGTTATTACAAAAAAAATAATGCTTTAATCACGAGACGTTAAAAGCAGAATCGGATCGATAAGCGGTGCAAGCAATATGGCCATGCAAATGACGTACAATATCTCAAAAAAGATCCGCAATATGTCATAAATTGGTAAGGGATTCAAAGTGCAACAAGGCATAAACATACTAAAATATGTCATCACCTAGTTGGTCACAAATTTATAGAAAGAAAGATTTGTTCTTCTGAGAACTTTTTAATTTTGAAAAAAATGGTCAATTTAAGGCAGGTTGAAAAAACTTTTTAATTCCGTTTTTAACCTTGAGAAGGTCATTGAAGGTTAAGTCTGAAATCTAGAAATCAGATTTGAATTTCTGAGAACTTGTAGATGATTTTGAAAAGAAGTTGGTCAATTTGAAGCAAGTTGAAAAAATACCTTTTTACCTTGAGAAGGTCATTGAAAGTCAAATCTCAGATCTTAAGTCAGATTTGAACTTCAGAGAACTTGTAAATGATTTTGAAAAAAGAATTTGATCAATTTGAAGCAAGTTGAAAAAATACCTTTTTAAACCTTGATAAGGTCATAAATGGTCAAATCTCAAATCTAAAGTCAGATTTGAACTTCTGATAAAATGAAGTCAGTCGAAACAGTTTTTGTTAAGTTATTGAAAGGATGTGTTACAGACGCCAACCACCGGACCTTGAAATTTTACTTCTTCATACCTCAGTAGGTATTTGTGATTAGTTGCTTAAATCTGGATAAAAAAATCAATTTGAAAAATCAGCTCTTTTTATCTTTCGAATGTCATCAAAGGTCAACCAAAGTCAAATCTCAAATCAGATTTTAACTCTTGGGCACTTGTAGATGATTTTGAAAAAATATCAATTTGAGGATGAAAATAACTTCAATGTGCTGCTATGGTAACATATATTGGCAGAAATATGTAGGTACTCATAACATGTTTATATATGTTGAGAGTAAGTATTTGAAGTCAGTCTAGCTAGTTGTAACAATTTGTTACAGACGCCGAACACCAAGCGTCGAACGCCGACACCAATCACCGAACAGCGTCCACATAAAAACGTTGGAGACTATATCAATGTCACTGTTTTTGATGGTGACAGAAAATATGGTTTTTCGTCATATATCTTAACTATCGGATATCTTTCGGTATCAGGTAGAATTTACTCTACTGTAGAGTGAACGATTCAAAGGCATTGCGGAAATTAAAAGACTATGGATAGAATTTTTAAACTGCCAAAACAGTTTCTGAGACTTATTTCAAATAGTCCAAGAGAGACACCTTCTACCCCCCCCCCCCCCCCCTTTAAAAAGTATAAGCTTCTTGATGTATTTGAGGTAAATGATGCGTCTTAAAGTATTTGAAGTAATTAAATGATTGATGATAAATTATAATTGTCGTATCGTATGTATGTAATATTACTGCTGAATAAAATTAAAGTTCACCTTTAAACCATTTGGGTGTCCGGAAAGTAAAGATACAAATGCTCTCATTTTAAGAGATTTACATGTTATGAGATGAAATTGCTCCAGAATGTAGAATGACATTATAGCAATATATCCTGCAACGGTCATGGCTTTTAGTTTTAAAATGAAAAAGTTATGGTCGTTATGGTAACGGGAGTCAAGGGTATGTGGAGCAACGTCACATATGTGTTTTACAAATCTCTTTCCTGCTCATAGCATCTTGGCATTCTTCCATTTATTTCTATATTACATCAAATTATGTACTACAACAGCATAAGGACTAGTACTGTAACATTATTTGATCTCTTAATATAACTACTATCATTGAATATTCAATATTTTCCCCATTATCTAAACATTTTTGGTGCATCTTGACCGCCGATTCAAAGACTTGACAAAATCATTGCTGTCCGTCTCTCAAATTGCTTATAGCATTGACTTCCAGCTGAGACTCATTTTGTATGTCGAACTTCTTACAAATATTGCTTTCAGATGGTCATTAGGTAGAAGTCAAAAAAGGCTCTATCAGGTGAATATGGGGCATTGCATAGGAAGGTTTAATGTCAAGACAATCCATTGTAAGAATTGTTTTCTTTGCTTTGAGAATGGGTGTATTATGGAGATGCAATATTGACTTTCCAACTAAATCCAGAGGCTCTAAACACTTGTATGATATTTCTTTGATTATACTGGTTAGTGAAATAAAATAGTTCTGATATGTAACAATGACATCATTATATAAAAGAAAAACTATGGCAGTAATAATACAAACAACAAACAAAATTTAGCAAAACATTGATAGAAAATACGACAAAAAAACGCTGTTTCAGATGATTGTATTTTAGCAATTTTTGACATTTTAGCAATGTTCTGGAACTGCTCCGCATACCCCTCACAGCCGTAACCATAACAACCGTAACTTGATCACGCTAAGACTATATGTGATGAAAATTGGTAGATATATTGTAATAATCTTGCTCTACAATCTGTAGCACCCTCGACAGTGATAGATTGACTGATTCACCAATTACAAAACATACATTGACACTGGTCAGCATCAGAAGTAACAGCCGTTACATTTTCTTTCAAAATGGCATCTTCGTATGATAAGTATCTATATTTTTTAGTTTCCTTCGAATTAGACACCAATTTAACTATTTTGGCATGAATTCTAGATTAGTATTTGTATTTGACCATATTGAGCTTGTATGAAATCAAAATTCAATCTGATCCAAGACAAGAGGTTTTATTCGTCAACCACTCTCTGTCATTTTGACGAAGGTAACCGTCCTTACATTCTACTGATACCAGCGAAGTTTGTTCATGTACTTTGAGTAACATGAGACACGAAATCAACGTTTTGATGAGGATCTGATCTACACGTGCATGCACAATTGTACACCGAAATAGAAACGTTTAGAAGATGAGACTTTGATTGAACACTCAACTCTAAAAAGCCAATTTGTTACTTGAGGAGAAAGTGTCCACCAATATTGTGTTTCAACACTCTTGAAATATCAAGGCATTGAAATTGAGAGTATAAATGCACATAATAGGGAGAACGAAAATATTTAAGCGATGTATTTGTATGGGCGATTGGTCATTCGTATAGGTTGGCGTTTCGATTTATATGCAAGCTTAAACTCCCTAATATCAGGAAGAGGTGATACTTCTACTGAAGCTTGAATCGGCTCACCAAAAATTATAAAATGGCACAAATTGTTAACTATACTTTTACTCTCCAATCACTTTGTTTCTAAAAAGCTATATAATATGTGAAATACTGTTTTTTTCGAAGATTCTTTTAAAGCGGGAAGTGACAATTTTCCAGCACACATGTCATCTAGTTCTTAATCAAAGCAGTTTGGAATTTTAACAATATATCTTCATTTTCATAGACAATTAATTTTGGTTTACTTTTTCAATACAGTGTGTAATTTTGAAGACACGTTGTCTGATATTAACACACAGTAAGCTTGACAGATTGTGGGTGGCAAATACAGATAGTGATATCGAATGGAGATTAGATAACAAATCATGCAAGATAGTACTGAAGATATGGAAGTCAATGACTGGATATGTGTAATGTAATGTACTGAGAAAATCATAACATTCAAGGTTTCCCACGTGGTTGGTCAAGTATTAATCAACAATTATGTAAAGGATAAACAATCAGCCTTGGGTCTAATGTGAAATATTTTTCCTCGTTATAAGGGTATATACGCTGATATGGCTTATTTTGAAAACTCAATCAATTAACTCATAAAGTCCTTCCGATCATTTCAAATGTGACCCAAGGATAAGTGGGGTTTATAACAAAATGAAAACGAGGTCTTAATTGTTTTTCCTCGTTATAAGGGTATATACGCTGATGACTTATTTTGAAAACTCAATCAATTTAGCTTTTTCCTCGTTATAAGGGTATATACGCTGATGACTTATTTTGAAAACTCAATCAATTAGCTTTTAACCTTTTTTTGCCTTAGTACAAATAGCGGTGCTAACATTAAGATGATAAAATGTTACCATCTGTGCTGGTTAGTTATTACAAATTGTATCAAAAGTGACAACAATTGCCAAGCGCCAACCACAAAAAGTGTGGCTCTAACAATATGTCTCCATTGTTTGGAAGTGACATAATTATAGCTGGGACTTTCAGTCACCTTCTCCAAACTTTATAAAAATGTACCATGTGATATATAAGGCCAATTTTCTATTTAAAAACTAACAACATATTTAAGTTCAGTAATTTTTCTAACCTTAATTTATTTAGTTGACTTAAATGGGATATGAAGTTGACAACTTCAGCTATACACGTCAAGGTATTTTGGTAATGTCTTAGACATTTAGATACTTCATCTAGCATGCAGTTCACACATGTAAATCAGATTCAAAACGTTTCCCAAATAAATATCCACTGTCAATTCACCATTAGTCAAACGATTTAACATTTAGCACGTTTAACATTAATGCATTAAGATCTCTTAAGAAAAACATTTAGCTCAAATGATTGAATTATATAAACATTATAAACCAAAATGCCTTCAGTTCTATTTCTTAAGAAACAGGAATAACAAGTCCAATGATTTCCCCAGCATTAAACCCACCTAAAAATCCATTTGCACGCACTTGAAAATGAGAAAAATCATGAAAAAGAGGCATACATGTATTTTGACCAATTTTGGTCTGAATGGTGAAATGAGAATTTTGCACCCACTTGAGAAAAATCCTGTGGAGAATTCTGGAGCCTCTTTCATATTTGATATGTGCAACTCTAGCTGTTTTTAAATTGGTCAGACAATAAGATTTAACATTCAACCTCCAATCACTCACCATGCATTCTTCAAATTGATAACCTAACATGTACCTTGCTCTAATTGGGTTCTGCCACAAAGATTCGTGATCTACATGTCAGTGTTAACTCACTGACCAGTTATCATGTCATTTTTCTATATTCAACATTGCAACCTAATGTCCAATCCTGGCTCCAATTCACATACTGATGTGTTTGAGGGTGCAAATGGTAGTTTCCTACTCTCTCTTGACATTGATAGGCAAAGAGCCATAGTTAAGATCAGTGCGAGAAGGATACACAACTTTCAAATGTCCCTCTGTGTCGAGCACTCTGACCTGCTCCACAGTGAGTTGTTTAGGTACTTCCTGGTCGCCATCTTGTGCTGTAGCACCAGTGGCTCCATCTTTGGGTGGATTACCACAGCCCATCTCTAGCATTCCTTTGAGGAGTTCATCAAGGACTTTCTTACAGATGTGCATGTCTGTGCTGCTAGTTACTTCAATCAGGATCGACTCTGTAGTTTTAGATATCTGGAAAATTGCCAAAAATTTACACAACAATTCATTTATTCAATGCTTGAAATACCTTGGGTCATTGGGCAGAAATTAAATTAGTCTCACCTTTGTTATATCTGAGTTGGTAATAGGTGGGAAGGAGATGACTCTGTCTTCACTATCCTTCAGGCAGGGATATTCAGCCTTACCATCCAACAACTCCAGGTATCTGTAACATAATGCAAATGAAATAGTAGGGTATGTATGTATCTTACGTAAAACAAAGAAACATTTTACAGTTTTTGTTATTACTTAGGTTTAACCAACACATTTGATCTGTCAGATTACAAAGACAAACATTATTGTTCAAGTCAGGATGTATCAAGAAAACACAATGAAAATTAACATATCTCACTTGAAAGTCTAACACCTCTTTTTAAAATTTAAACCAAACTATCCAATGAATTCAATACTCATCCATACAAATAAGACACTTCCACGAGGCTTCACTTTTGACAATTTTGTTCCAAACATGGCCAAAATCACTTAAAAAGAGCTCAGAATGGTGAAAAACTGCATGATATTGAAAGAAATTTTTTGGCCAGGGGGGTGGGGGGGGGGGCGCGTATCCATCGAATCGGGCCTGTCACATATTATATTTATGTATTAATACATACTTGTGTATTCCTGAGAATGTGTTCCTCTTTTTCTCCCTCCTATAGGCTTCAGCTTCAGTCCTCAGTTTCGTGACCAGTTCATCAGCTGACACTTCCTGACGCCCAAACAATGGATGAATCTGCCAAAAATTAAAGAATCAAACTCTTTAGAAATGTGTATATGACAGTATAATAAGGGCAGGTAACTAATTTGATACTGAAAGTTGAATATTTGTAGTTACGCCAACTATTTTTGGCTATTTTGCACCTTTCCATAATAACATGTTACCTATTTCAATTTATTAAAACAAGATACACAGTGATTAGTGATATGCACTTTTTATCGAAACACTCAAAATTGGCACCAAGTGTCATTTACTCAGCATGCCCAAAACCTAATCATATAATTGTAGCACTAATATAATAGTCTGCTTTTGCATCTGTAAAAACTTCAATATGAAGCACTGACCCAAACAAAAGTAGCTGCCATCAGCACAAGATAGCAATATAGCACTTTGAAACATATCTACACCAAGGAGCCATTTATAAAATTGTTATGAAAATATCATTACCTTAATGTCCTGAGGAGGAAGGGCATCATACTTAAGAGGTACTTTGACAGCTGCCAAATCGTGAGTTGCAATAGTAGCTGCTACTCTCTTCTCACATATAGTGTCATGCAGCTTGGTCTAAAATTACAACATAATTTCATGTTAATTTGAAACTCACTTAATCAAAATCGATCATTATTTTGGGACATAGGGAAGAATCGAGGTGGAATGAATATACTATTTTCTTACTTAGAAATATAATTCACCAAAACTATTGAAACTTAAGCTGTAGTTGCGGAGGGAAATTGTTTCAACTTTATATTGCTTAAAGATTCCAATGCATAAAATATTTTTTTCGAACAAAAAAAATCTTCACCATTCCTTATTGCCAAAATAGACTAAACATTGTCACTTTAAAAGTAAGCCTCTTAACCATTATTGGTCTTTAACATGAAGTCTTGAGTGTCGAAATTAATAATTGGTTTACTGAAGACTGGCAGAGGTAATTTAATCAGTTCTCCTTTGAAGTTGTCCGTAAAGCATTGATTACCTGTAATGTAATGAAGTGCTTGAACATGTTTAGTGTCTTCTGGAAGTTCAGATTCCTAACAATACAGCACACAATGTATGGCCTAACATTCGCAACAGCTTCCGTCATCTGCACTGTCATCAAATCGTCACTCATCAGTCTAAGAACTTCCATCTCATTGACAAGTTTCTCAACTTCACCTTCATCTTTTTCAGCCACCTTTTTTCCTTTCTTCTTTTTACTTGACTTTTCAGCAGGTTTTTGTTTAGCTAAGATTGTACCAAGGTAGTCTAAGAATGCCTTTGGTTTACAGCCTTGTTCAACTAGTTTCTTAAGCCTACGATCTTTGAGCTTGTTCCCTTTAAAGTTGAATTCTTTAATTCGAGTGCACTGACTCATTTCTGGTGGTATAGCGTCAAATTTATTTTCAGACAGGTCGATTGATTTCAATGACGGAAGATTTGATAGATCATCTGGGATTTCACCTATTTCATTAGATCCTAGATTTATCGTATTTAGATGGATAAGTGCTTCATCAGACAGGCCCTCAGGGAAACTTGTTAGATTGTTATGTGACATCATAACAACATGTAAGTTGACCATCTCCTTGAAGTTTGGCAGAGTCGTCAACTTGTTACAATTGAGATTTAAAGTGTGAAGATTGGTCAATTCGTTAAACTCTTCAGGTAAACTTTCAATTTCATTAGTTGAGGCATCTAGCAAATGCAATTTAGACAGCTGTGATATCTCGGTAGGAAGGCTTTTCAGCTTATTGTTGTGCAATACCAAACTTGTCAAATTCACCAGATTTCCGAGCAGATTCGGAAGCGATTCTAAACAGGTTTTACTAATTTCTAAAAAGTTAATAGGAGTTAGATTGAATACATTCTTGTCTAATTCATCCGTTCGAATCCTTTCTGATACATTAGCACCGCTAAGAACCAGTTCATGACGCTTTTCTTTACTGGCTTTCTCAACTTCCGGCCACATGGAATCCATCTTGGTAAACAGTGAAGGAGTGGGAACTTTGATTCACGAAATTTTATACGATGTCGATGTTAGTGACATCTTTTCAAATGTAAAAGCTTAGTTAGTTTGTATATTTTTGTTGATTTTTCACCCAGTACCTCGGTCGCACACACATTACGCTTATAGTTTTTAGCAAAGCGTGGGTATAAAGTTGACATTTACACTCGTGACTCTATTTTTATACTCATATATACACAGGCTGGTATCGAAAAATTTGTCCGCTGTGACGGAGCGTGCTATTTTGCATAGAAACACTTAGAAACCCACACAATTTATTTTTTTACTCATATGTTTCGCTATACCAAAGAAAATTTCTTACTCCATGCAATGAGTATATCATTTGCGGGTAATTTTAACTTTTGTTTGAAGTCCAACAACGCTAAGAGTAAAAGCTATTGAAAACGGCGCCAGGGTATCATACTCCAAAATGTACTATTTGTTTTATTTCTTTTTAATGGTACAATATAGTGACACGATAATATTTACATATGTTTTCAGCATAACTCTGAAGGTATTAATGATATCTTGATGTATTGGGTATTTTTAATATTTTTTATAAAAAATAATGTTTACATTTTTTGTCAGCTGTGACGGAGCAGTTTTAACTGCGAACTACGTTAAGAATTTAAGATTCAAATTATATCTTTTAAAAGTACCCTTAGAAGAGAGAACGTCATAAATCACTTTCCTAAATAATGACAAGCAGCCTCTTGGAGATATGGGGTAATGTAAATCTTAGATATAGGAAAAACGACCACTCTTAGTATTTTTCGGAGGTTTGTACTGAAATCAACATGAATCAACATGATGTAAACTCAACATAATATTTCTAATACGTTTTCGCCTAGACGTCTTGAAATGTCACGTGTAGTGTAAATAGGGCTAATATGAATTTACTTATTCGAAATAGCGCACAGACATCATGCATGCCGACAGATGTATAACCTTTTACCACATAATATTATATTACTGTATATAAGATGATCCCAATACAGATTTAATTTGCAATTATTTGAAATTCATGAAATTCATCGTTTTGCATAAAAAAATATAATATATAAAAAAAGTCTTTGTAAACGTGCTGCATTGTAAAACCTGTATCAATGAATATCTTTCTCTAGTGAACACCTCTTCTTATCAAATATTCCTCTGACTTCTGTATGAAATTGCCTCTATGGAGTGAACATCTATACCAACTGGGAACACATTTTTGGGCTCCATATGTGTTCACTGTACACATATTTTACTGTAGTTGCATCAGATAGCCATAACTCTTAGTCAAATAAAGAACGATCTTTAAATCAAATTTTGCATTTTCGTATTTCAAGATACATTCAACTTACCTTTTGGAACGACTAAAGAGGGTAGAACAATCCACAGTCCATACCATTATATGTATTTAGCTTCATCTTAAGCAAATCATTTTACTTCAAATAATTAAGTTACCGTAAAAATGACCATGTCAGGCCGATGGATCCACAGAGGGCACTACGAAAGGCAAATACCCTTTACTGAAATGGAAGTTGACTATCATTTTCATGAGTTACCATGCATAAGTTGGATTGCAGTACAAACTGAGAAAAGAAGCTTAAAGAGTGGTCGTATATACATCTCAGAATTTGAATTGTATACTTTTATTACGTTTCATTTTTCAGAATACTTTACGAAAGAGATTTGACACGCTCGCTCCTCTAAAGTTTAGTTGTAAAGAAATATATTATGAATCTAAATTCTTAACGCATTTCAGATTTGAAACTGCTCCGTCACAGCGGACAAAAAAATTAATTATTATTTTTTATCAAAAAAATTAAAAATACCCAATACATAAATATCTCATTAATACCTTCAGAGTTATGCTGAAAACATATGTAAATATTATCGTGTCGCTATATTGTACCATTAAAAAGAAATAAAAGAAATGGTACATTTTGGAGTATGATACTCTGACGCCGTTTTCAATAGCTTTTACTCATAACGTTGTTGGACTTCAAACAGAATTTAAAGTTACCCGCAAATGATATATCCATTGCATGGAGTCAGTAATTTTCTTTGATATAGCAAAACATATGAGTAAAAAAATAAATTGTGTGGATTTCCTAGTGATTCTATGCAAAATAGCACGCTCCGTCACAGCGGACAAATTTTTCGATACCAGCCTGTGATATACATTGTGAGATCCGCCAGTCTCATCCGGCCCTTTCAACTAGCCTAGTAATAGCGGCCCCTAATTGTCTCTCTCAAGCTACATGTAAATAGATAAAATAGAGACTGCTAACTCACAATGGTGCATGTATAGGGCCCTACACGTATATCACGGGGTCTATCCAGGCCCTGCTGACATCGCGAGCAATGAGCTCATGTTAGAAGCGGGGCCTTGAGAGAAATGATAAAATTTTCTATGAAACCCTTGGTAAGTGAAACTCAGTACAACTTTATTTCATAGTACAATGGCTATTTCAATTGCAGGGCAACCATAGGCCAAGGGAAAAGTAATAGTAAGCTGTATATAGAAGAGAAAGGTCCACAAGTAACGGATTGAAATTTTTTAGTGTTGGCACTACATGTAGTTCTCCTTACTGGTATCAAATTGTATTCCCAAATCTCTCCAAAATCTTCTTCAACGTGTTTTTCAAACTAATATCATTGCTTTTTCAAATCTTTATCTTAAAACTGCATATAATACTGCATATAAAACAACAACTATGGATATCTGCAATTGCCTGGCAAGCCGAAACTGATTTGGTTGGTTAATACAGAAATTGTCACTGGTGGAGGTCAGCAGTGACCAATCAGATCACTTGTTTACAAATGTACCTTTTTTCTGGATAATGAACTTGCCAATTTTCAGAAATTCTCTCTTTTAGACAGCATTATTCACTCTATATCATCTGACTGAGTTTCAATCTTAGGTAAGAGCTACAAAGAGAACTATCAATTTTCTATCAACTGCCCGTTGCTTTTTGAAAATAATATACTAAATATTGTTGATATCTCCATCTTAACAAGTGGTATAAGTCAGACTTGTTCACCTGTCTCTTCTATATACGGCTTACTATTACTTTACCCTTGGCCTATGAGGGCAACGACGTTCTTCAACAATAACTATTTCTTATCATATCTCTCAAGGCCCCACTTCTAACATGAGCTCATTGCTCGCGATGTCGGCGGCCGGGGAAACTGCTCGCAATAGCCTATATACGGGGTACCTCTGGTACTGAAATATTCTAACCACTACATTCTCATTCTCACAATAGCCTGAGAATTCCAGGCCATACAGCATATTCATGTCTGCATTAGTTCACCACCAGTGTGTATTCCAATCAGTTTGATCCATAGTCTCACCAGTGTGTATCCTAATCAGTTCACATTATCACCAGTGTGTATCAAAATCAAATTCACATTATCACCAGTGTGTATCCCCAATCAGTTGACATTATTACCAGTGTGTATCCCAATCAGTTGACATTATCACCAGGGTGTATCCCAATCAGTTCACATTATTACCAGTGTGCATCCCAATCAGTTGACATTATCACAAGTGTGTATCCCAATCAGTTGACATTTTATGCAAGTGTCATATAATAGCCCAATCACTTCATATTACGATCCCCGGTGTTAATCCATATCAGAGGGTCACAATCGCACCAATTAGCCTGCCAATCATTCCCAAATGATCATGAAATGACTCCCATGTTTGAGAAAAAAAACATGTTTTTATCACGATAGGCCAAAGAAAATGAAGTTTTAAGCTAAATCTAGAAAGCAGTATTAAGCTCAATCTAGAAAGTAGGATTATACTCAATCTAGAAAGTGATTACTACTTTTCCCTTGGCCTTGGGTTTAATGCATAAGCTACATGTGTACGATCTGTTTTTAGCATACAGTAGTTTGTGAAGCGAAAACGTGGTTCATATTAAAAAATTAACAGGTGACCTACTTGAAAAACTTAGCCCAGAGAAAGTCAAAAGATTGGGAGATGGTAGAGATGGTTTGCAAAAAGACGCCTAAAGGTTTGGTAGCGATATGGTGAATTGAACTAAATTGAACATACAGTATATTCTATACACACCAGTCAACAAATTCTGAAAAATACTAATCGTCAGTGTAATGGTCATCTTTTGAATGGTAACAATTTAATTTAATTTCCGACTTTTGATACATTGATTTAGAAAACATATCAGAAACAGTTTTGTTCTTGGTATGTTTGGAATGAAACATCCTCTATAGTACCCGCCGGACCGTGCCTCTTTGGAACAAACTGATATATATAAGTATGACTACGTATTTAGGTCTCTCAATATTGTATGCGTATACAGAGGAAAGTTTGGTTCATTCAAAATGAGTATCTTAAAAATAAAATGTACATATTCATTTTATCTTTTGGGGGTATTTATTTTATTTCTATATACATGTACTTTTAACATAATGGTATACTTTTTACACACGTTATTTTTGTTCCAACAAGGCTCGGATAGATACTTCATTTCATTCCCAAGAATTGGTAGAAAACAACAAAATTGCACAGAAAAACAATTCCATAAAATATTCATAGTATGCTAAGAGATTTATTGAACTAGAATCTTATTTTCATCACAAAAGGTATTGATGTGAAGGTTTAGAATTCTAAAAGACTAGTTGTACCACATACTGTAGCCTCTAAAATCCGAGGTAGGAGATTCTATATGCATTCTGATTCACAAGGTTTCAGTTGCTCTAACTTGTGTTATCTTGGAAGTCGAAAATGGGCTACATGTAGAATGAAGTGAAGTATTTTGTGTTGATACACGTTTTAAACCACATTCCCAATTGTAATTCTACATGCAGATTTCAAATATGATATTACTTTGCCTGAATTTTTTTTATTTCTGATGAATGAACTACGCAAATCAAGATTACTTGCATCTATTTAGTCTACATATTTATGTCACGCCAATCCTAATTTGTATCTTACAAAATATCATCGATAACTAATTTTTATGTTCATGTATACTACTATTTTATAAGGTATATTTTTAACTGCCTTCCTGGTATGGTAGTCTTGATGCGAAATAATATATGACATCGAAATAAATCAATGTCAACTGTACCCTTTGTAAACATTGAATGGTTAATGTGACTATATACATTTTACATTTAAATTTGAAGTTTTCTTTCAGTAAAATTATTTTTTATTCATGAATATACATTAAAATTTAACAGTGTTGAAGTTTAACTGAGGTCGAAGTAACATGAAAATATTAACTGTGGAAATGAAAATATCAACATGTACAAGGTACATATATACATGTATAAACTCAACAGCATAGAGAAAATAAGTCTACTACATTTAATAGTTTTTCAAGAGAGGGGGCCCAAAAGATTTCGTGCTAAAGCACTAACAGTATCTACATTTTGTTAAAACAATGATCTGATACGAAAACGTTTTGGTGAAATTAGGAGCTCGCATATTTTGAAATTTCGCCAATAAGCTATCTAGATCAATATACGTAGTATCTCATTAAATTGATTAAGCTGGTTTTGCTATATAAATAAAACAAATATAGCTATATTTGGTTAATAGTGTGGCGACTTGCAGTGGTGACTAAGCAGGGGTTTTAACATGTCCGGCATATTGTTGTAACAGTAATTTGTGATCTGGCAATGATTAACCGTATATTCAACGCATAGGACGTACACTTATCACTTAGTACATTCACCTATCGTATTACCTATTGTTTGAATTCTTCAATCAGAGGACTATTTCTAGATAACTCTCTATGTAAGTATTTGGCACAGGAATAAAACAGGACTTTGGACTTCATTTCTGCTTGGAGTTTGACGGAGGAGGTTGTTGCAATATTGCTTTCTAAATTAACATCCCGGCAAAAATAGCCAAATTATACTATTTTATGAATCACGTGATCGATGAACCATCAACACCAATCAAAACTATAGATACACAGATCACGTGTCCGTCAGGGTTTAACACGATAACAAGTGGGCATTTCCAGTCATAGACTTAAATCATTCCGAGTTATTTTATATTTATCTAAAAAGATGACTACAAAAATCGACAAAGAAACAATTCAGGATGTTTATAGGGAGATTCGTGATGATACAAGTGACGTAGCATGGTAAGTAAAATTTATTCTGTTTCGTTGAATTATATATCTTATACACCCATCACTTAACAAAAGGTCAGCTTATCTGTGGTATTTAATGTACCGGACTACTTGACCAGGTCGTTATGGGAATAGTGCATATATCCACTGTAAAATAACTCGGCCAAAAGTTTTTAAAACATTAATTATCATGGGTCTCTACATGGGCCTGTATGTTAGGCATTTTCACTTTTCATATTACAATGCCTTTAAATAATCAGGAAATGGAAATCCTTCAATTTGACAGCATGATTTTGGCTCGTATTATAACTAGTTTATTGATATCGCATTTCGAATTATTTTTCAGGGCTGTTTTGAAATACAATGCCAATTTGATCGAACTAGAATCAAAGGGACAGGATTACGAAGAATTCAAATCAAAATTTTCAGGTATGATAATAGAAAAATGTTTCCAACAAATAAACCTTAATTGATAACATGGGCTTTCAACAAAAAGCTCACGTTGATAACGCCCCCTCCCCCACCCTCTATACATAGAGCAAAAATAAATTGATTTTTACTCGAGAATCATATAATAAGGGATTCAGTCTAGACAAAAAGATAATTATCTGTATCTGTACGCTGAATAGCTAATCCATGACGCATCCTTTCATTGCAATAGGGTTTCCTTGTGCACTTATTTATGGCCACAAGTCCCCATTGAGAATCTAGGAGTCGATGTGTCATCAGGTCACTTTGAACTGTTGGTTAAGTGGACTCGCATTCCAACACTATAAACGTGCACCGAAATTATCAGCAATGTACACGTTAACTCCACTTTCATTCAGTCGAATCCCTTTCAAAAATTTCATATGATAGTAAATACGATTGTTGATGTATTTGCTAAAGCATCCTTGGCCCAAGAGTAATTTATTGCATTACATTATGATCTGCTATGAAAGCAGCGGAGGACCGATCTTGAAGGATGGCTTTAATATATAGGGGAGTATTGGGGCATATTGTGCATCGTTAATCTGATTATAAAGTCAATTTTTATGTCACCACTTTTATTATAGTCTCCAGTTTTTTGTGGCTGCGGTTGGTTTCGGAGTTCGACGTCTGTAACAAATGGCATGTGGTGACATTTTGCATATCATTAATGTCCTGTATCGATTTTTATATAATTGTCATTTTCTACTGATTAATCAACCCTATCAGAAATTCAGATTAAGTAAATGGACGTGATACTGACATCTCGTTACTCTTCTCGATGGTAATAACCATGGCAGCCTTATTTAATCATGTACGAAATACGTGAACAATCGCGTATTAAGGTTAAGCCGTGAGGAGGTTATCAGTATTGGACATATATGCAGGGATTTCTATTTGTCATCCGATTATTATGTCCTCTTTAACCATCACGCGTCGACTGGTTCAGAGGCTAGTTATGATTTCTAGACGAGATGCAGCTCTCTTTTTGTAAACGAGAGATATCCTGGAAGTGAAACAGTTTCCTCAGCATCAGTGTTAATTTTGCCTAATCATTTAATTTGTCTGTTACCTAATTTATGCCAGGTTCGGAAAATTAAATGTCGGAAATATTATCTTCATAATGTTATCCAATGGGAAGTTTCTTGTCGTTAGGAAAATTAAAATTAGGAAAATAATAACAGACGTGTTCCCAACTAGAATAATCTATGGTCAACTGCCAGACGGTTTACAGGAGGATCACTTCACTTTCAATTTGATTACTGCATTTCGCGATCACATCTACACTGGTCAGTATCAAGCGAAGGTAACGTCCGTTACCTTCACATCTAAGATGATGGACGTTAAATGTAGATTTTGATATGTTTTAGTTTTATCGAATTAAACCACTTTATAGTTGACGTTATGCTTTGATATTTGAACTATACCAGGCTTATTGTATATCCCATGGAAACTGGATTATGATCAACTGTTCATATATCCAAATATCATATACAGTTCAACGATATCTCTCAACACATACAATTATGTAAGGGAAGGTTATTAATTTCCTGTCTTAAATTGACTTCAGTTTTAAAAGTTTCAATTCCAGATTAAGTAAATTTTGATTTACATGCATGTACCTGTGTACCTCTTTTGTCAACAGATGATGACCGAGGTTTCGGGTTCGTTCGAGTGACAACAGGAGACGAACTGAGCAAGCGAGCCAAGTTTGCTCTCATAGCCTGGGTCGGCGCTAATGTAAATGGAATGAAGAGAGCGAAGATGGGAACTGACAAGACTTTAGTCAAAAATGTGATACAGGTGCGTCTTGTCAGTGTCAATGGTGCTCAATAGATGACACTAAAATACATTATTGGCTATTGATTTGAAAAGCTATGATATTTTATAACGGTCTTGAATTTTGATACATTAAAGATGAGTGCATTTTAAGGCACTCATATTAAGCTTCATAAAACTTGATGGAACAGAATCTATCAAGAAAATTCGTTTGTGTATACGTATTTGTATTTTATTTTATGATTTACTAAAGCAATATTAACCCTGGCGCCATCTGGATACGAGTTTTCGTAAGAATATGATAGTGCAAATAGGCATATGGGGTTTAGTCATCTCGAGGTGTGGCTTGCATCCAATGATATTTCATTTGGAAATGTTAGGAGCAAAAGGTCGTCGATTAAGGGGGGGATAATGGACACTTTTCAACTTGATAAATGTTGTTGAATTTGATAAGTAAGAGAAAGACAGTTTTTATGTCTTGAATTCCTTTGGTGTCTTACGGTTCAATCCATTTTTGCTTCCAGAACTTTGCAATAGAGCTGATGACGTCAGATCAAGATGAATTAGAAGAATCATATATTAGAGAAGAACTTGCGAAGGTTGGTGGCGCGAACTATGGATCTGGTTCTCGTGATTGATGACAGTTTATGGGATAATGCAATGTAGATATGGATTCCAAGCTCATTTGTATATATAAGGGACTTTATTGTATATTATTATTGCATCTACTAGGTTAAATAATTAGTGTCCACCAATCGAATGTGGATAATCTCCGGACACAAGGAACAACCCGACAATAGTCACCATGAAACGCACAACGTTATTTAAGATGGCGCTGTACCTGTAATCTTGATCACGTGATTACGATTGGACCTATATCATATGATCATCAAATGCCCCTCCATAGTATATTCGACATTTTTATCTTTAATTCAAAAAATCATGTGCAGCCTCAATATTATATCATATGTTCTGATTTAGTAAAGATTTTCATAAGTTCTCTGATGTTATTATTTATGTGGGCTTCGCGGCACTAGTTCAGTAGTTGCGCACTCTAAGATTTAATTTTTACACTATCAGACAAAAACAAACTACATTTCTTACTTTTACTCAACTTTGTAAAAACATATACAGATAACAGAGACCGATCCGACGTGATATATGGCTGGATTAGAAGTGTTCCTTTGTACATCCGCTGAAATATAAAATACAACAAATACAAACGTGCTTAATACTGATATTTCTGCATTGGTTAATTGTAATATGGATTGGAAGGAACTTTAACTGTTGCACCACGTTTCAAAAGGTTTAACTTTTAACACGGGTCGGGCCTATTGTAGTTACTCCAGAGCTCAATCTCCAGAGTAATAAATGCAATACACGATAATAACACACCTGCATGTGGCACGGCAATTCTCACTCATGAATTTGTGGAAGGAGGATCCCTTTTCGCAATATCCGTATCTGGCGTAGTTGAGGCAATAGCGTCCGTGTTTGTCATGGCAAGGTCCTAATGTAATAGTAAAATACATTAACTTTGCAGGGCCGTCAGATGGGGGGGGGTGCGATGGGTGCGACCGCACCCCCCTTTGTCACCCCCCCCAAAAAATGAAAAGAAAGTTTGAAAATTTTTTTTTGAAAAATATTTTTTTGTAATTTTTTTTCAATATACTCATACACTTTGAAAGTACCCAGAAAGCACCAAATAGCATCTTAAAATTGTAAAATTTTCTAGGGGTATTGGCCACCCCTCACACCCCCCACAAAACAATGGAAAAGTTCTTTTATTTTAGTGTTTTGTCTCAGACACTTTTACAGACACTTTCACAGACATCATCAAATAGCTCCTTGATACAGTTAGTGTTTCTGGGGGACTAACACTTGCTCTCCTCTTGCATCTTGCACTTGCATCCTCACACCACCTCCCCCTCTGGTGCCCCCCTTGACCCCCCCCCCCCCCCCAAAAAAAATTGGATAAAAGTTGTGATTTTCTCAAATTCTTTAATTGACTCATACACTTTGAAAGTGCCCAGAAAGCACCAAATAGCGTCATAAAATTGTAAAATTTTCTAGGGGGAGTGGGTCACCCCTCATACCCCAAACAAAACAATGGAAAAGTTCTGACTTCGTTTTATGTATTGTCTCATCCCCCCTTGACACCCCCCCCCCAAAAAAAAATTGAAAAAGAAATTAAGAATTTTCAAATTTTGTATTGACTCATACACTTTGAGAGTGCCCAGAAAGCACCAAATAGCATCTTAAAATTGTAAAATTTTCTTGGGAAATAGGCACTTTTAGGCACAGACACTTTTAAAGTGCCCAGACTTCATCGAATAGCACCTTGATATAGTAAATGCTTCTGGGGACAGATATGGGGGACAAACACTTGCTCCCCCTCTGGCACATCAACCCCACCTCCCCCTCTGGCACCCCTCCTTCCCCTTTGACACCCCCAAAATAAAAAAAATATGATTTTTTTCAATGTTTTTATTGACTATACACTTCAAAAGTGCACAGAAGCACCAAATATCATCTTTAAATTGTAAGATTTTCTAGGAGAGTAAGCCACTCGTCAAATCCCCACAAAACAAAAGAAAATATTCTGAATTTCATGTATTGTCTCAGACATTTTTTAAGTGCCCTGACATCATCAAATAGCACCTTGATATGGTCAATGTTTCTGGGGGACAACCCCTTGCTCCCCCTCTGGCACCCCACCCCACTTCACTCTCTCATCCTTTTTGACACCCCCAAAAGAATTTGAAAAAAATTCACATTTTTCTTATTGACTCATACACTTTGAAAGTGCCCAGAATGCACCAAATAGCATCTCAAAACTGTAAAATTTCCTAGGGGGAGTGGTCCACTTCTCACACCCCCCACAAAACAATTGGAACGTTTTGAAGTTGCACTTGTTAATTCCAAACCGATATAGGGAGTAACCGACCCCCCCTCCTCTGACTTACGCGATTTGGTTTACGCGGCAAAAAAATTGACAATTTTATATTCTCTTTAGTAAAAACCGCACCCCCCTTGGAGAAAAGTGTCTTACGGGCCTGCTTTGGGTCATAACAAAATCATCAAATCTATCTAAACAATTATGGAACATAACCCATGAAAATATTTCATTTCTGTGGATGTCTCCTGGAAAACTGAAAGTTGAAGGACTGAAATTAAAATATTCGAACGTGTGCTTCGGCAGAAAATTTGATTTTCACAGATTCAGTCAGTAAAGTTAAAGGAGCAACACGATTGTCCGTCGTATGGTCAGAAGGTAAAAATAAATGTTTGGATCAGTCAAATGTTCCTGAAGCTAAGCAACCTCAACACGCTGCATTAATCACCGAACTGAGTACACGAGACAAATATGACGACAAGAAGATGGATGCTAAAATCCATCTTAGTTATATCCACTTTTGCTGGTGACATAATATACTTTACCCAGTTAACATGTCGGCAAGTATAATATTCCCATCTTCGACTTCAAACTTGATATATATAACACAAGTTGAAATTAGAGCAACTGAAACCTTGTGAATCAATATGATATTCCCATTTTCAAACATATTTGGACGCGTGCTGGTAAGTCGCATGCGTTGTCAAATGTGTACCGTTTGCTTTAAAATACATATTATATGCATGTATAGACTGTATAGTACTCACCTTTTGTGGGTGGAGGTGCGGTTGGGGCAACGTGTATTTTGTTACGTCTGATCAGCTCTGTCCAGAGGCGGGCGATACCTGTAGATGTGGCTTCCTGAAACGTCAATAAATAGGCAATTCTGTGCGGTTCGATATAGATACCGAAGTTATCGGACTTTTCCTATTTTAACATAATATAAAATTCCAATTCCGAAAAGTCAAGGAAATGGCCATAATCAAAGAGAAAATAGATATCAAATTGTACTCTGTAATTGTGTTCGAAATTGTGTAAAAAAGTGTGGTCTCACGATCTTGAAGCTAGAAACGTCGAATCGTCCTTGCTTAATTTGAAATATTAAAGGATTTGATCGATCAAACAATAGATGTCACGTCTCTTCTATACTGGCCGTGTTAAAAGCGGTTATTTTTAAATATTATTCAAAATGGCAACGAGGTTTCTGTTAATCATGTTGAAATCATTTTACAACCAAATTAAGAATAACAATGTACATGAAATCAATAGTGACTGAATGTTTCAGCAGTACCATTTGAGAAAATATTTGGATATACTATTCCTTGTAGTGTAGAGGGGAATCTCTGTTCAATATATATCATCAGGCCCGTAGCCAGGGGGGTTCAAGGGGTTCGAGCGACCCCCCCCCCCCCCTGGCCAAAATTTCTTTCAAGATCATGCACCATTCTGAGCACTTTTTAAGTGATTTTGGCCACTTTTGGACCAAAATTGTCAAAAGTGAACCCTCCTGGAATCTTTCAAAAAGTGACCCCCTCCCCTCTTGGCAAAGCCTGGCTACGGGCCTGATCATAGATCATGCATACCGTCATATCTGCTCCTCTTGCTGTGACTCTGATGCCAGTATCCATGTCCGTTACTATCACAGTTGTCTCGCCCTTTGGAGTGAAACGGATCAATCGTTCTTCGATGACCTCCTAAAACACAGAGACAATAGTAACATTCAAGAACCTGGAACAGGTATAATGGGTGACAGAATTGCAATCAATGGCAATTAATTTTAAGATAATCTGTCCATTGTCAACTAAGTTAAAAATGTGAAAAAGACCAATAGCTAAAATTATTCTCAACTATTTTCATTTTTTCAAGAACTTGATATTTTCAAAAGCTTTCACTTTTTTCAAAACATTGCCTTGACCATGGCACGATGGTATAAGGTCGTTATGTGAACCTGTCGAGATGATATGAAGAATATCCCTCGGATGATATCAATATTTCCCTCTGTCACTGCGTCACCTTGGGAAATATTGATATCAATTCTGATATTCCCCGTACCAAATCCCTCTTGGTGAATAACTTCTTCATATTGACTTGAGCAATATGTGGAGAATATTGCAGGCCTACATGTACATTGTACAAGTACTGGTCATTATCCGCCCTGGTCCAGGGCGAATAACGAGTTTGTACTTATTTTTCAATTGGTGATGATACTAACATCATTTCAGCGGGCAACATAGTGAAATCTTGGCCCTCGGGAATATTGAACCCATAACCTTCAGTTCTGATGAGTGATGTACATTCATTATAAATATGTTTTAAATAGTTATCTAAAAAGTTGTGTTAATGCAAAAATAGGTGTTGAGAAAATAGCACGATTGTTCAAGACGTTTTACTAAATGCCTTGAGGGAAACTATTGAATATGTGCGATGCAATAAAAAGTACATGACTGTTTTTTAAACATGATTCATTTTCTATTCAGTTCTAGGTGTTGCATAAAAAATCCATGAAAATTCAAAATCAATTGGTGGAACGGTCTTACTGGAAATAATTTTAGTTCGGATATTCAAAAACGGACACCTCAAAATATCCTCAGTATGCCCAAAATACCAGCATTCATGAAAAATTGAAATGAATCAATGACACGATTTGGCTGAAAACTCGAAGAGAAGACTTTTAGCTCAAAATTTGAGAACGTAAAATCCAAAATGGCCAGCTTAAAATACCAAAACTCTAATTAGTTTGAGGTTTTAAACCAAGAAGCATCCCTGAAAACGTGAAATGAAAGAAAAAACGGTTTGGTTGGAAACTCGTAGAAAAGAATATTGCCTTTCTAGATAAAAAGGACGGAAAATCCAAAATGACCACTAAAAGATAATTTCGGGAAGCCTGCCGCTGACCGCAAACTGATAACAATATAGCAATGGCGCGATGATAATATACATAGAAATATGATGCATACTTCAGAGCTTTCGAAATGCCTTTCAAATATAGCATCAGTAAGATCTCCAATGACTCCAAGCAGGCCATTTCCGATATTTTTCATCACATCGCTGCCTTTAATCTTAGCAGCTCCAGATTTGATAGCGCCAAGAAGTGCTTTGCCGGTAAGTCCACCAATTATAGCGAACCGCTTCTCTCTCTTGGGGGCACCCTGTACCGCCACCGCAAGTGCTACCACCACCAATAAGCCTTAAATATAATGAAAATAATCTCAATATAATGACAAAGATTTCCCCTTGTTGAATCCCCAAGCAAAATGTACATCATTTTATCAATATTATTGTGACGCCCTGAAGACATGGTTTCTAAATGCGGAATGTGGGCGCACTATATCCAAGTAAAATACTTCCATTAGACAATATTGCACAAAATAAGGTACATTTTGCTAGTGACAAAAATGTAGAAGTTTAAACCAAATCTGCAAAGTCAAGTGCATACATCGGTGTGTTCGAAATGTCCTTTGAAGATGGCCCCGAGAATCTTATCGGCAATACCCATAACGACGTCTCCAATGGCACTTGCTACCATAGCCCCGGTTATGATTGCACGTTTCTCACGCTTGGGTGAAGGAGCTGCACTTACAGCCACCACCAAGCAAACGACAATCGCTAGAATACCTAAAAGGCGTTGAACCATGTATACAATGTTAAAAGGGGCGTTGTTTGAATTCTGCCAAGTACTCCTAATCTGTCAACGAGTATTTTTCAAGAACTTTTTCAATATGGCCAACCAATTCAAAATGGTTTAATTCAATTTTGAGCGTTCATATTGCTTACGAGTTGAGCTTTGATATTCTCTTAAAATAATATTTGTACCAAAGTCTTTTGATCTTTTGACTTGTAAATTCAAAACCATTGGGCCAATGAATTGAAGAAAAATTTGGTTTATTTCGAATAAGAATTACGGATACCACACATTTATTGAATTTTCTTCCAGCAGCCTATATGGAAACCCTTGAAGAGTGATGGTATGAATACATTTGCTTCTTATAAATCACATTATTTGATTATTTTCTATTAAAAAGGTCTATTAATTAAATACATGAACGAACAAAAATATTTCAGATAGGCTACTTTAAAATCATTAATTGCGACAATATTATGGATTAATTTTCCATTACTTACCAAAGAATTTCATGGTGAATTCTGGACAGAAATGATGACAACGATTTGTGATTGGCATTATATATACGGCCTTGAGATAAAGGAGTGTGGTGTGATAAACATCATCTATAATCTTCGTGATGATAACACATTAGATACAAGATAATTGTACAATATTTTATTCCATTTGACCTATTGATTTTAAAAGTCCGTGCGATCAAATTGGCCCATATGATATACACATCGAGGAGTAATACTGTATACAAATATTTCAACTAAAAATTCCTCGAGCACTTCGGGGAATAGCACTTGCGCAAGTTGCATGTGTTCACAGAAAATAGTATGCAATTTATTATTCACTGTAAGAATCCTCAATCTATCCTGTAAAATTAAAATGGTTACAAAAGTGTAATAATTGTTACAGCTCTAACAGCGCTATTAGAGTCTGACATTTTTACGGACATTTTGAATTGGTTGGCCATTTTGAAAGATTTCTTGAAAATTCCTTTGACAGATTTAAAAGAACCGAATCTGGTATCTTAGTTTTTAAAGATAACCCTTTTATGAAAACGACGGTGTTAAGACTTGAATTTGAGACAGGCGGACAAACGGAAGACGGACAGACGAAGGGATGGACGGCTTCTATTTATTCCTACTCGAATTTCCTTCGTTGTGACAATTAATGATCTAATTCAACCCAAATGTAATAGCTTATCACAACGCCGAACGCTACATGCATATATCTTATCAAATAGTGCAGATACTTTGAGCTGGATATCGAAAATAAACAAATGTTAAATATCTTAATTTGCTTCTTTAAATTCTTAACCCCTTCTGAAACCGTATAGCACATAGCAATAAATGAAAGAAAAAATATACTACATTATAACTGAAATGACTTTTTAAAAGTTGCTTCTTATCTATATTCAATCTTTAATAAAAAAAAAACATGTCACCGACTTGAAACAGTTACAAACTACAACTACAGTATGCAAATCTCTTAAAATCCCAGAGATTTCAAAATCAAAACTTTATGGAAAATTCTCTAATGAGATGGATAAACATACACTGTACATGTACAAATGTTTTGTTGATTCAGTTTATTTATAAAAAATATAATCAATTAATCAAATTAGGTTGCATATATACACATTTACATTAAATACATGTATTTACATCAGCTAGATAAAATTTATCCCTATTATTCGGAATACTGTGTTGGAAAACATATACAGCACGTTTTTAATCTACATGTTTGTAATTCATGCAGTTTTCTAAGCAATTTTCATGTGAACTTCCCTGAACTTTTTTGAAAAGTCAGCCCCTTTTGACAAAAGCTTGCTACGGGCCTGCAATCAAAGATGCATTGACCTGCACAAACCTGATTATTTTTTACTGAAACTTAAATTTACTTAATTACTTAAACTTAACCAAAATAATTTCTTCAGGTTAAAGTCTGGACTGCATTCCTCCCGTGATTGCTACTGTCTCTCCCGTGATGTATTGTCCATCTTTAGAAACAAGGAAGGACACAGTCCCTGCACAGTCTTCTGGGACACCAAACCTGCCTGATGGGATTGTCTTCAAGGCCTCCTCTGCTATCTCTGGAGTCTTCCATAACTGGAAAGTTGTATTTTTATGTTGAAACAAGTTGGATTTTTGTGTTGAAGCAATTTTTTATATCTTAATGTAATTTAGATATCATACTTCCGAAAGTTGGATTTTTATGTTGAAAGAAAACAGACATGAGCATGTTTTTATGTCTTATATAATTTAAAGATCATACTTCTAGGCCATTTTCCAAAAAAACTTAAAATATTTACAAAATGACCTCTTTAGATTGCATTAATAATGTAAAATGAGACTGCAGGTTGATACAAATACGAGAGTCAACTAAGAAGGAGGTCTCTGATTGTCTTGTTAGTCCAAATACAAGTAAAATATGAAGCTGATGCTTAACTTATTTCAGTTTACATTCATATTTATTATATCATGGTATTCCAAACGCTAGCAATGCATTGCATAGTTAAAAATAAAAACTATTGAAAATATAGGATATTGCACTGTATAAAATACTCACTGTTTCACTAAATCCAGTTTTGATGACCCCAGGGGCTATTGCATTTACATTGATGTTCATTCCAGCAAGTTGTGGTACCATGGCTTTAGTCAAACCCAGTAGGGCTGTCTTGCTTACAGAGTATGCTCCTAATAGCTGAAACATATAATATAAGACAATGTGGTTTTTGTGATCCCATATGTATCATGACATGTAATAATTAGAGGTTATGTCACTATCGTGGCATATATGCCCGAGGTCTCAGTGATATATGGCCCGACCTTGGGAGGGACATTGATCTCTGAGAACCGAGGGCATATGTGCCACGATAGTGACATAAACGATTTATAACATACCTATGATGATGTAGACTGGTTAGAGAGTACCGTTCTTCTTATAGAATTGACAAACAAATGGTTTGAAAATGATTGGAATGAGTTTAGAAAAATTGTTCGCGCAGTTTTATCTTCGATTGATTGGTTATGACGTCAGCGCCTTGACCAATCAGAAAGTTAGCGGGCCCGGGCTTTTGAAAACTTATATTGGCCCGCTGTTTTGTGTACACTTTGCACTATACATCATCATGGGTATGTTATAATAGACTATAATGTTAACTCAATGACCTAATGTACATGTATGGTTTTACTGTTATTTTAGTCTGTTTCATAAATGAATACAAGGCATTAACATGCAAAATGCAAACACCTGCCACTTGTTACAGATGCTGAATGCTGTTACAGACACCAACCACCAAACACCATCCATAAAAAAAGTTGGAGAATATAGCAATATAGCAATATGTCACAGTGACATAACGAACATGCTATTTAGTCAACCTCATAGTTTCAATGCTCTATACTGTTGTTCCATCACATAGACATCTAAGAGAGTTTACATTAAGAAATCTAAAGGATGGGGAAGGGAGTGGATTGCTCATCTTACACCTTAAACCACTGTCACCCTCACCGACCATCTATCCTGTATGGCTAGTAGAAGACAAAGGGACACAAGAAAGAGAAGGCAGGGGTTTCATTAGAATTTCACTGAACAGGCCGAATAAATGAAAACAACAGGCAAAATCAATTGGAAATCATAAATTCAACATGGAAAAGTTGAAAAGTCCCTAAAAACAACAGGAGATTTTGTGAAAACAACTAGTGAAAAACACCTGTTGCCTGCTGCTAATGAAAATCCTGAGAAGGGATGTGGACTCCCACAATAGCTCACATTGCTCTTTGGAATATCAAATATCACAGAAAACTCAAGCTGTGTCAGTGAAATGGTTATTAAATGGAATTTTCAAACTTACAAATTTAGAATTCTTTGTGGTACTGAAAATTCAATAGAATGGGGTATAAAGACAAATTGCCATGGAGAAGTGCATACAACATGTCTTTAAATGATCATATCTTACCTCAAATGGTGCAAATCCTGCAATGGAGGTGACAAACACAATAGATCCTCCCCTGTAAGAAACAATCTAATGTTAACATTCTCAATACAATTCTGTTATTAAAATGCAACAACTGTGAAACTGGCAATCCAATAAGGTTAGGCAATTCTAGGGGTATGTGAAAAAGAATATGTTGTAATTACTTAATGAGTTGAGTACCTATGTAGTATGTATAGCCTGATGGTTCAAAGAAACAATAGGAAATTGGAGAAATAGAATTTTATTAGATGCAATTTTCGAACCTTTACTAGTAGAAAGTACTATAGAACACCCTTTTTTAAAATGAGAATAGATCAAATAGTGAGAATATATAGTTCCACTATTTTATGAATTTGATTTGACCAAAATTTATGCCAGGCATAAATTTTGTTCAAATCTAATTCTGAAAAAGTAGAAAACATATATTCTCACTTTTTGATCTATTCTCAAAACAAAAACCAGGCTGTTATAGTATTGGTACACAATATGCGTCTTCAGCTGGTTACTGTCCAAACATTGCTATTAAATCATTCCAATATAAAATAAAAAAAATTTGAAGAACAAGTATTTGTTTTTTATTAGATCTTTCCAAAACTAATGTATCTGCAACCAAGACAAGAAAATCAACCGATCCGAACACCCATGGGACCAGCCAAAAGCGTTCAAATTGGCAGGTGTTAAAATTCCGAGGATTTTGTTGGTCGGGGTGGGGGATTTTCATTGTTCAGTGCACTATATTGAACACTTACTAAGTCAGAAAACAATACATGTTGTTGATGAGTTAATTCTACAATAGGCCTATAGCCTATATGCTATGTTTTATTTATATTTTGAACAATTTCATCATTTTAGTAAAAATAACTCTTATATTTTGGCAAAAACTTTGTAATACACTGTAAAAGTATATGATAGTCTCGTACGAAATCTTATGCTTATCAAATGGCTTATCCCATATTATGGTTACTGGTATATAGCACTGCTTTACTTTTGCTTGAAAAAGTCCTTCATTGTTGTTTGTTTCTTGGCACTTTTAGCATTAGCAATATTGGAGTAGATATCTTCAAGTAAAAATAATTTTTCATGAGTGTTCATTCGAGATGATGTATAATCCTTCAAAATATCAAGGGCATTCAGGATGTCAGATGTATGCGAATATTACGAAGTTGGATTTTTTTCTCCTTCTCGTGATATAATCGTGTCTGCAAATGGCGTCTGTGTTGTCTTTGTGATTATAAAACATTTACTGATTGAATCTTAGCTATCATAACAGACCCATGCATATAAAACAGTTAAGAGCTGTTCATAATCCAAATCAAAAACATGCAGTTAATTTACAATAAGGATAAACCAATTATCTACCAGACTCTCACCTTTCTCTTAATCCAAATCAAAAACATCCAGGTAATTTCCAATAATGATAAATCAATTATCTTCTTGATTCACACCTTTCTCTTAATCCAAAAATAAAACATTCAGTTCTTTCTAAATGGAAAAACCAATTAACTCCTGTATTCACACCTTTCCAAAACATCCTGTTGTTTTCCACAAATTAGGGATGTCACTGAGACTAAATAAGTTAATTAGGACAATTGGTTCTTTGATTGCATTTGTATAAATGTAAAGATAAATAACAACTATAACATTGACTCAATATGTGGCTTTAATTGAAATGTCCAGACATTTGATTTCTGATAAAAATGTTCAGATTAGACAGGTCACTTTTTCAAATCTGGTTGTTCACTGTTCAAATTAGGAGGTGATCAGATTTCCAGGTTTTTTTAACATGGGAGTCAATGGAAGGAAAAAATGGGACCGAAAAAAAGTGTTCAAATTGGAAGGTGTTCGGATTAGCCAGGTGTTCAGATATACAGGTTTTACTGTAATCAAATCATTTTTAATGGTTGCACAATAATGGTTTGAATTGAGGGCTTTCAAGGTCATTTTTTATAACGGGTGACTGCATCAAGTGATATGACCAATTTTTGGAAATTACCGTTTCATATTACTTATTCTGCTGATAACTCATTTCATCCTATAATACAATTACATCAAAATAATACAAATAAATATATCAAATACTTTACCCTCTCTTCTCTATATGTGGCGCAGCTTCCTTTGCGAAGAAAAATGCAGCTTTTACGTTAATGTCAAATATTTTGTCCCAGGCTTGTTCTGAGGTAGACTGAAAATATCATTTGAATAAAAATTTGAATTATTTTATTTTGCAAAATGTTGATGATCACTCATTTGGAGTGGTTTCTTCAAATTTAATTTGAAAATCTTGTCATTAATGATTAACTTCAAGTTGTGTCACTTAAATAATATATAACATCTGTAAATCAATCATGTTCCTGATTTGGTCCTATATAAACAGTTACAAACACAGATACTGTACAGTTACATCAATTTTTTTTATCATTTTTAGGTGTACCAAATTGAAATCATTTACCCAGAATGCCCAAAAACTAATCAGTTCTAAACTTTCATATGTAGAAATATCCCTGAAAATTTCAGATGAATCCCTCAAATCGTTTGCCCGGAAAACTGTCGACAGGCAAACTGATCACAATAGCACTAAGGGTGCAATAAAAAACAAAGTTGAAAATAAAATAATTTTTAACTGAAAAGGATTAACATGGACTTACATCTAGTATAGGCCCAAATATTGGGTTTGCAGCTGCGTTTGATACAAGAATGTCCAATCCCCCATATTGCTTAACAGTCTGAAAATAAAATCATGTTACATTTATTGACATGTGTGTATACAAGTAATTGTACATGCATGCATAACTAACTATACATAAGCCAAACAATTAGCATTTGTGACTTTCTTCTAACACTAGACAACAGCAACGCCAAAGCGTAGCAAATCCCATCGAACAGCCATGGCTGGCATTTTTACAAACAAAGTATAAAGCAAAATCGGCAGCCATTTTTCAAAATGACCACCTTCTACCACAAGTACCATTAGACAGTGTGCCATGCTTATAGTACTCACATACCAAATATGAACAGAATCGCTCCACTATTTTCGAGTTATAGTAAAATAGTATTAAATGGTGGCTATGAACAAAATCGCTTCATTACTTTTCGAGTTGTAGTAAAATACATTAAAACGATGGCCATTTTGAAAAATTTTGCAGCCTTCTACCAAAAGTGTCATTAGACAGTGTGCCATGCTTATAGTATTGCCATACCAAATATGAATAAAATCGCTTTACTACTTTTCGAGTTACAGCAAAAATTGTAAAATAGCGAGTAACTTCGTTCAATGGGATAAATAATACACACTGTGTTGTATAAAAATTCATTTGACTTTCATCCCCTCCTACATCCTAACATCTTACCCTGTCCTGTACAACTTACTTCTTCTATTAAACTGACACGGTCCTCTGACTTTCCAGCATGACAGACCATTCCACTGACTTCAAGGTTCTCTGATCTTAGTTCAGCAAGTGCTCTGTCAACATTCTTTTGCTTTCTACTTGAGATCATGACTTTTGCACCATCCTGACCTAGACGTCGTGCAATAGCATAACCAATGCTGAAATGATAATTTTTTAATATTTAAAGGGACATTCCTTGCAATTGCCCTTGATATGTCAACATTCTCTAGATTCCATGAACATGAAAACTGATTCTGAATATAGCACATGTATGAAAAGTTTGTGAACAGGAATAGTTATTGGTTACTGTGACAATGGACAAAAGAAAGTCCATGCTGTGGTCAACATATGCGCATCACAAGATCACACAAGGCATTAACATGCACTTTGCATTCGTTTGATTTTGCTCTAAAAGAGAGCTTCGTCTTTACTCTTTCAGTTTACCATAAATCTCTGAACTTACAGAGCCATTCAGAGTTTGTCATTGAAATGACGCATTAAGCTTGTGTTCCTTCCTGCTCACTGATTGGTTGAGAGAAGATAAGCGTGGTAGGTTTGAAATGATTTATGACACGGGCAAAGGTTGTGATGGCGGGCTTCTAAACTGTAATATAGTCTATACTAGGCAGAGGGTAGTTAACATAACTAAATGTACACTCTGTGCGCAGGGTACAGGTTTGGAAATTGGAGGCTGAATCTGGGCCATTTTTCTTTGAGGGTAGGTGGCTTTGACCCACCCAGAATTTTTCAAGCATCTGGAGGAATCCCTTAGAATAAATAACCAATGACTCATATGTAAATAATGAGCTATGTGTTAAAGATACATGGACACGGCAGGGAAGTTTCACTTTCAATCAATCATCAAATGGGCGATAATAAATTAAATATTTTTACCCTTCTGTTGAAGCTGTTACGACTGCCACTTTCCCTGATAGCCGCCCATTTGTGGTATCACTGGCTAGCCTAGCACATAATCTAGCAGTTTGGACTAGTTTGGAACGTGTAAACATATTCTTGAATCAATTACAGGAAATTATGTGGAAATTTTTACAATTTCTTAAGAATCTCGCTAATGAAATTATAATTTTATTAACGAGATCTTATTAAGAGTTCATATCGCATAATAACCCTTATTATCGGATTCCAGCTGTTAGTAGTATTAATTTGAATAAATTAAAACTGAGTAGTACAGCTGAGTGGACATGTATATGCACCGATAACTAGGTCTATTGCTTAGATGCCAACTTAATATTCTGAAACCATTGAAAAAAAAACTCACCTTACTATGAGTAAACTTCAGTGAATTCTTTGACTAAGAAAACAACTACATCCACTGCTTGTGAGATGTCCATCCCTAAATCTTTGTGGGATGCAAAGTTAAAATAAAGTCCTTCTGTAGTATAGGATATAAACCTTTCACTGTTTGTGAGATTTAAACTTTAAAAACTTTCATTTATACAACTTTGAGAGTGTAAAAATCCAGATACATAATATTTGACTTGATGAAGATTGTTGAATGTTAATTCTATCCTTCATAACTCAGTTGTCTGTGGTTATGTTCTGAAATAACACAAAACTGTGTTTTAGTGACAATTAACGACTGGGTGGGCGAGGGGGGAATATATGAACTCTTAATAAGATCTCGTTAATAAAATTATAATTTCATTAGCGAGATTCTTAAGAAATTGTAAAATTTCTATTACACTCATCTTATTAAGAGTTCATATCGCATGTTTAAAGTAACATGACCTCAGAACAACTGATCTAAATCCTTTAATTTCCTTTATCAGTTTAACAGATTGTAAAATTGTTAAGCATTCAGTTAATTTGCATTTCCCATCACTTGGTTTGTAGATATATCAAATGTTCAAGTTTATGGTACTGTTACTGCATACCTGGTTAAATATGTCTTTCAAATGTACTTAAATGTATTTATTAAATATCTATCTATTATTATTATTCTATAAAATTAAGACCTTTATGTATTGTTATAGAAACTGCTAATGTGTATGTATATGAGATGTTTTACTGGATATGTACATGCATGGCATCGCATGACATTTGACAAGGATAATTTAAACTTCCTTCTTATGATTCCCTTCTACTACTAGTAGTTTGTTTCAGATGTTTCTGGTATTTTCTAAATACTACTACAACATCATTAAATGGATTCTCATGAAAAAACTTGAAACCCCAATTTTATGTGTTGACATTCTGTCTTTGACAACCATCCAATGGCATATTATTTCAGAGGCCCTGGGATACATGCTTGAAATAGACATTAACATGACTTATTGTGTACTTTCAGTTGAGAATTCTATTCTGACCCGAATGTTCAATGTGAGATACAGTACGACCTTATTCACATCCCAAGTTTCATTTATTTTATTTAGTGGGTTTCCATTGTAAAAGTTTCCATAAAATCAACCAGAACATGGTATTGACTTACCTATCTATGGTTCCATTATATGCTGATTTTGCAGACTTTAAGTATCGAGAAATGAATAGCACATACCTGATTTGACATTTCAGTTAGGAAATTGGCTAAATTTGTATCAGAGGCTAAATATTAATGTCATGTTTATTAGAACATGCAGCATACCCATGTTTTTTAGGGGTCCTTGGAAGTAATTTAAGTACTTTCTTTACTAGATTTAATGAACATACATGTTTTGCCAGTTTGTCACAGAAACCTCTAGTTTCAAACTTGAGGATGATAATTTGGACACCGTTAGTGTTATGTAGCTTCTTTTTTTATAAAGGCTGTAAGATTAGATATTAGTAATTTCATATGGTTTGGCAATAAGATGGGCATACAGACCAACATTTCCAACAATTATAGATACCGCAGAGCCATTTGCCACATTGGGGCTATAAAAGCCATATCTGTGCATTTTTTCTGTCTCACTTTAACCAGTAATCGGCTGATTTAAGAAATTGGAGGAAAGTTATTTGACTGTTTATTCTGAATAAATATGTCAACTTCCAGAGTTTCTGGGTTTAGTTTCCACCTGAAATATTAATTTTCTACTGGTCGACAAAATCAATTTATCTGGACCTTAAAACTTCAATCAGGAAAAATCTCCCAATCTTATTTCTAGTTTGATGCATCGAGGAATTTCTCTAGGTTTGATCTGACATTCAATTCTGATTCCTTGGAAGATATTATACGGTAATAATGATATCTCTGGCAAAGGTATCTGAACGATCTTGCATTGCTTTTAACATTTCTAGCCATCTCGTTCCCCACATTTTGTTCACATAATGTCATCGTGGTTTTCTTGTTAATTTTATATAACATTGTCTAAGTTTTGTGAATACTTTCACTACCATATCCATGGCTTTCATTCATATGAAACAATTTTTTGTTTAATCTATTTCCCCTAAGCTACTGTCCCGTCAGACTTGAACTTTAGCCAAACAGGCTGCTTTTTTGTTGTTATTGTAATTATTGATTCGGATAACACAATTGGTATTCTGAATTTCGACTTTTTGGACCAATCACTATCAAATTTTGAATTCATTTTTTTGTGAGTTATTTTGGCAATCAATGCATACATGTAGAACTGCTTTGACCTTTGCAAGTGTCAATAAATGTAGAGGTTCAATATACAGATTACAGACTAAAGTACAATTCAAAAGTATCTCAATAACTTGAGTAAGAGTACTGACTAGGGTTGATTCTATCCCTACAAAGTCTTTGCGAGAATTTTGATAGAAACTATCATTTCTATTAAGGCCTTCAAGTTCATCTCAATTGTTTTGATCACAAACCTACAAAGCTCCATTTTATGATGGGAAAAATGCAACAATAGGCTTTTCCCCATTTATCAGAAACTTCAGTTTGAAACAAATATTTCACTAACTTGAAATCATGTTCATGAGTAGCAGATGGGCGAGAGGTTAATGACATCAGAGAATCAATAAAAGATTCAAAACCAAATTAAATATTCCACAATAGTGCTTATGGTATTTTCACGAGTTTGAGGGAAGCAAGGTCCATAGAATGATCTCAAATGATGTTATATCATTCAACAGAGCTATTTCCTGTGCCTCAAATGTATGCTTATGGTCATATAAGCATCCTTAGCATGGACTTTCACCATCGGTAATTGTTTGGCCATCTCATGTTTCTTAGAGTTACCATGTCTTCCATTTTGAAATATTCATACCAACTAAATGGTTAAGGTTTAGATTTTTAGAGTTTAGATTGAGAACGAGTCTCTGGGAACAATCCTCTTTCTCCTGTAACGATATGTGACACAGAAATTGATCTATGCTTGACTTTGCTTTTCTGTTGCATGTTTAAGAGTTAAATGAATCTCCTGTTTTTAAAGGATGGACAAAACATCCGATTGCTTAAAATCGCAGTTTTTAGAAATATTAAAGCTACTTTCCATTTAGAAATCTTAAGCTATATTGTTATCATTTCTCAGAATCTCTGGTAACCTTGACCATACTTCATATTTCTATGTACGTGACTTTGAAACTTCAAAAAGTATATGTAATTTACCTAAGTTTCTGTTTTAGTGAACTTCCAGATTGTTTTTTCTAGATCTGATGTTATGTCAAAACATTCATCTTTTTTAGATCCATTTTGGTTTAATTTTAAAAATAAAATTGACGTACCTGTCATTGGACAAGGATTTTCCTACAGCCTAAGTTGTGCTGGAGCGACATCGTCTATAATGACATTGTTTGTCATGACTTCTAGCTGTATAGCTATTGGCAGCTGACAGTTTCTGCTTTCACTGGCCTATTCAAAAGGCTGTCAAATACTTGTATTTATAATCTATTGAAAGATTTTGATCTAGAAAACTATGTTTTCATGTCTTTGACAAAATCTTTGTTGAGTCATCACCAAACAATTCTTTTGCCCAGCTTGGGGTATTCTCTTTTTGGTTAGGTAATGGTATGAAGACAGAAAATTCTCCAATTCACTCTTGTCAAAATGAAAATTTGAAGCATGAAGCTTGTTTCAACTACAGTAGTTGGTTATGGGAAATCCTTGTTTAGCACCAATAGCTGTTTTAATCAAAATATTGTACGAGTATTGTCATTTGATCTAGGGCTGTTAACCCGATTTCCATGGATAAAGAGCTTTATTTCAGGAAGTCCATGTGACACACATTACCAGTATTGCATATGCCATTTCCCATTTTGCAATTGTAGATTTCTATCTGCTTTGGGACTAGGAACATTTTTAGTTCATTTACTTTCTAGATAGCTTGCTCTAGCCTTTTCTTCATATTTTGATATCTACTAGGATAATGTTTTTGACCAATATTTATGGACAGATTTTACATGCTTGTCTGTTATCTTCAATTCAGACTTGTTCTCAAAAAATGAGTCAAACATACTGAACATATAGACCGCTGATAAACAGAACATGAATCTATAAGCACTAGATTACTAGAACTTGAATCAAAACAAAAATGATTCTATTAATTTGAACCTACTATGAGGCTATGCAATTGGATATGCTCGCTGAAACTGTAATATGACCTCTAATATGACTATTATTCTGATGGCGGCTCATTTTGAACCTTGGTCAAACTTTGGTTTATAGGCCTTGAACTTTGGTCATTTGGACCTTTGGTGTGTGCATTCAGACATAAACAGTGGTCATTTAGACCTAAAATGTGTTCATTTAGAAATAACATGTGGTCATTCAGACCTAAACTGTGGTCATTCAGACCTAAACTGTGGTCATTAAGACCTAAACTGTGGTCATTTAGACCTAAATTGTGGTCATTTAGACCTAACATGTGGTCATCTAGACCTTGACTGTGGTCATTATAGACCATGGTCATTTAGACCTTCAGTATTCAAACTTCCATCTTGAAAAATCATAATATTTCCCTACCTGTCCAAGTACATAATTTCAGGAGCACTAGGAGCCGTACTAATGGTTCATAAGTCCAAACAAATGTAGCTAGACTAGTAAATAAAGTTCCAAAAAAACTGCAAACAAATGACTGTTGAAAAAATTCAACAAGTCGAGCAGATCATCTGAACTAAAATCCATGTGCTATTTACAGCTATGTACAAATAGCCTAGTCTCCTATAAAGGTGTGTTTCCGTTGGCAGCTAAGCAAAAATAGACCTAGTTATCGGTGCATATACATGTCCACTCAGCTGTACTACTCAGTTTTAATTTATTCAAATTAATACTACTAACAGCTGGAATCCGATAATAAGGGTTATTATGCGATATGAACTCTTAATAAGATGAGTGTAATAGAAATTCTATTTTCCGAGTGACTTTTGGAAGTAGGTCAAAGTTCATCCTGTATGAAGACTGTTCTCAATCGTGATTGGTCGATGATTTATTTTAACTTCCGGTTTCCAAACATGTCAAAACTTATCGCATGTTTTTGTTTATAATGATGTAACTTACCTAAAAATGCGTATATTAACTCGGGTATTTCGACAGAGCAGTCTTTGTACGACAGACATAAAGGTTCAAAAACGACAGATGAACATGATTTGGACCACATGCTCCAGCTGGATTGAAAGAATTTGTAAGTAAAACAATAGAATTTATTTTCTTTGCTTTTCTCTCTGTTTCATTTTATATTTGTTTATGTCATCATTTTTTCAGAATCAAAAATAAATGGAGATGTAATAGTACTTTTTTACATTATTTTTAGGTTCTGTGGGAAAGAGGAGTGGATGGAGGACACACCATTGGTCCGAATTGTCCGTAGCCAAATGATCCAAACCCCATCGGTCTGAAATTCAATCGTCCTAAACACAATGGTCTGAGTCACATTGATTTGAAACCCAATCCTCCGAATCACCATGGTTATCCAAATTCCATTCATCCAAAACCTATAGTGATTCATAAACTTCAAGGGTCGGACTCGATATATTCCGAGGGACCACAGGGAAAGGGAGTTTGCATCAACCCTCCAAATCCGGGTTTGTAGAAAAAACCGGGTACCGGGTAGTAAATCCTCCATGCTGGGTTCAAACTTGGTACCCGGTACCCGGTCGAAAAAACCGGGTACCCAAAAAACGAAAAATACGATTATATAACATATTTAGATCATTAGAAAACGAGTAAGATTTGTTTTGAATATACAAAAATGTATGTAACTTCCTTCAAAATTGAGCTAGAAGCTTCAAATAAAAAGCATTTTAAGGTTCTTTTCTTCCTCTATCATCATGGTCATATTTTCATAGGTTATGGGGTGGGGTGCGATCGCCTATGACATTGTAAGACGTAACAATTTACACTTCAGTGGACGTTGGGATAACTTAAATTATGATTAATAATCAAAATCTTACACGTTGCATCATGTAAATTAACACACGTCACCTCTCTGCTAAAGTAACGAACTTCACGTACCAACATACGAACTATTGAAATTACAGGTGACGAAAAATTCGCGTGAAAAGTCCGAACGGATTGCGTACGTTTTTTTGGTGTTCGTATTTTTGCTGTATCGGCGAAATTTTTTCTACAGATATATTTTTGCTTGACAATTACCAGGTAAAATGCGTATTTGTGTGACATTTTCTGGCGTGACTTCAAATTCTTCAGCAAATGCGTGACAAATACGCAAATTGCGGGACAGTTGACAGGCCTAATAACCGATGAAAATATGACCATGATGATAGAGGAACAAAAGAGCCTTAAAATGCTTTTCATTTGAAGCTTCTGGCTCAATTTTGAGGGAAGTTACATACATTTTTGTATATTCAAAACAAATCTTACACGTTTTCTAATGATCTAATTAGTTGTATATTCATATTTTTCGTTTTTTGGGTACCCGTTTTTTTTGACCGGGTACCAAGTATGAACCCAGCATGGAGGATTTACTACCCGGTACCCGGTACCCGGTTTTTTCTACAAACCCCTCCAAATCCCCTCTCCCCAATGACCCTGCAACACATCATGTTTCCAAGTTATCACAACTTTTTGCAACCTACTATACATACATTGTAGAGTGAGGGGTCGCCCGAGGGGGTCGCCCAATTGGTCTGAATCCCATTGGTCCGAAATGCAATTGTCCAAATTCAGTTGTCCAAATCTGAATCATATGAATCCTAATGGTCAGAATCTCATTGGACCAAAACTCAATGATCCAAATCTCAATGATCCAAATCTCAATGGTCTTAAAAGCAATCATCCAAATCGCGATGGTTCGAATCTCCGAATCATGTAGTACATGTAACACAGTGATGTTGATAGAATTCAGATGATTTGTATTCGGACCAATGGTGTGTCCTCCCTATATAATGGCACATGTATTTCTCATTTTCTTTTGAACTATCATGATACATAAAACTTTGCTTTCAGTATTTACCATGATGCATGTTGTTGTTCTGACAAAAAAATCATTCACTTTTGTTTGGTCATTTGCAGCCTCTTTGGTACAACCAAAACAGAAAACATTCACAGTATCAGTGGAAGGTAACATAGGCAGTGGCAAGACATCATTCCTTAGATATATACAGGCAAACCACGACAATATCACTGAGGTATGCAGTTTGCTTTACATTATCATTTAAAGAATCCCATTGTATTACTGATTCTGATTTGTCAAGGTGTGTTTAAGTTTTGACTGTTGACCCCTAATGCATTGCTGGTTGAAGACCCATAATGCATATTACAGGGGAAATGTTTATGAAATATGACCAAAATATTTAAGTCTTCAAATTTAATTTTTGAATTTAAATCTCTGAGACAGAATAGTTAGCCATCTGCAGTCTCTGTTTACATTGTCAGGGGTCGGGAAGTAAATATGCATTCAAATGATGATTATGATAAGAGATATAGAAACCACACCCATCCTTCCATTCATCTGGGCAATGACTCAAATACTGTTGGTTCATTATTGTTTTATTTTATTTCTTATGGAATTATTATGAAAACATATATATATTTTATCAAGGTTTGAATTACCACTAATATAAGGTTGTTTAATAAGTTCACGGAAATATGCTCTTATTTATGTGTATGTTGTGAAATAGCACTAAATTACCTGTATTTCATTGAAAGCTACCTTGGCTGCACTTGTGATCAGATCGGTTGTTGGATAAATGACTAATGTTCTACATGGTTCTGTATCTGTATAACTTCACTCTACTATACCTTGCATTTGGCTTTAATGAGCAACCCATTTGGCTTATTAGTAATGATTATATATTTGTTTTTATTTGTCTGTTCCTTATCAATGGTTTATCGGTTGAAAGTTAGATGTTGATAAGGTACTTTCAAAAATATACTAAACAATCCAATTAGACAAACAAAGTATCTTATGCATTTCTAGGTGTTAGGTATAGTAGTGTGAACTTATTGAGCATTACACTGAGCAAGTACCTAATATGATGCATTCTATACTGCTTTAGGTAACTGAGGAGCCAACTGATAGGTGGAGGAATATACAGGGGCATAATGCACTGGTAAGTAATTTAAAATGTCTTTAAAAATTTAAAAACATTCTCTCCATTCCCAAAAAAATAATAAATAAATGTTTTAAAGTTACTGTACTTTTTTGTGGATGGTGTTCGGCAGCGGTGTTCTGGGTACGGCAACCGTTTCAATTTCTTACATCTTCCGTCAACCGGTGGTGACATTATGTCATGTTAAATGCCTTGTTTTATTCATGCCTTAAATCTTATTCATATATTTCAAATCCAGTGCGCTTGGTATTTCACACAAATGTATAGACTAAAAAATCTAACTAGTGTAAAATTAACAAAATGCAAGCACCAGTTCAGTTTTGGGACACCCTGTATGTTACATAACTCCACATTTTAGGCTCTGATGTATGAGGACCCCGCACGGTGGAGCCTGACATTCCAGACATATGTTCAGCTGACCATGTTACAGTCTCATATGGCTCCACAGAAGAAACCTATCAAAATGATGGAGCGATCCATACATTCTGCTAAACAATGCTTTGTAGAGAATTTACACAATAAGTAAGAGAATATTCTGAACTTGTCCGTCTATAAAGGGCAGGAACGCAATACCAATGTCTTTCTACAGCAGTGGTTTCACTAGCAGCAGGCAACAGGCGATTTTCACTGGTTGTTTTCACAAAATTGCCTGTTGTTTTAAGGGACTTTTCATCTTTTCCATAATTTTTCCTGTTGTTTTCATTTATTTATAATAGCCTGTTGAAAAATTCTAGTGAAACCCCTGAACATGAAAATATAACATAATTTTGGGGAGTGTATGAGAAAACAGTATTGATCCTTCCTTTAGTCTGCAGTACATGAAACAGTGTCATTTTAATGAAATATTTTATCAAAGATATACTGGAATGATCCCTTCTATTCTCATATTTTTTCAAACAAGAAGACAGATTACAAAAGCCAAGACTTTCAACCAAATTAGCTTTTGATAATATATTGTATATAAAATATGAAATTGGGAAATTAACTTTTAAGTTCAGTTTAGTTCTAAAGCTTTTGAAACATCTAACAATCGCCTACAAACAATTTACAAAAACATACATTTTTTTCCAGTGGCACAATGCCTGACATTGAGTATATTGTATTGAGTGAGTGGTATGATTACATCTGTGCACATGACAAGGTGGATGTTGACATTATTGTTTACCTCAAGACCAGGCCAGAAGTTGTCCTGGAACGCATCAAGAAAAGACATAGAAATGAAGAACAAACTATTCCACTGGTAAGTTCTAAGGCTAGCCAACATGTTTCAAATGTTGTATCAAGCTTCTGTAATGGATCTCAGTCTCAACCCATCTTATCAGTAGGTTAGGGGTTAGTGGGGGGGGGGGGGGGCATAAACTTGGTGCAAGAAAAGCTTGGCTTGCTGATTTTATAGAACTTACATGCATGTTGAGAACAAGAAAGTAGCAGCTCTCAGAAAGTGTGAAGGTTTAAGCTCTTCAACATTTAAAATGTCACTCGACTTTTTTGTGATTATGAGTCAAAGAAAGCATTCTTGAGTTTCAAATTGACTTCTGTGGTAACTTGAAACCATCTTCTAATCTATTCCACTTACCTTTTATTGTTTCTCCAAATATATTCTTTGAAAATCGGATTTTAAGGGTGTTAATCAGGGCAATTCTGTGCCATTTTAATCAAAAATCTTGTTGCTACCTAGAAACGAGCAATTGTGATCTTGTTGTTACCTAGGAATGAGAAACTGTGATGTCACGTCACACTCATGTGAATTCTGGAATCACATGGCAGCCATTTTGGAAATTTCAAAAAAGTTCCCAATTAAAAAGGCTAAATGCTGTTTACAAATTGGAAACTATTGCAGAATCAACTAAAGGTTTGTTAAATAATTAGGATAAGGCTTCAAAATTATGCACATGACAATATACTAGTATGACTACTAAATGCAGGCAGGGACTTTTAATTGCCAAAAAGTCGAGTGACATTTTAGATGTCGAAAATCTTAGTTTTTATTGCTTTCTCTTCACTGTAGATTTCTGCTGCAAAATTTCGATCATCTCATTTTCCCTTTTGATTGTTAAATCAGGAATGGAGTTACATAGTACATCGATCAGTTCTATAGACCTGTAATATACAACAGTAATACTCATTATACATACAGTAATATGGAGTATTAAGTTCAGTACAGTAATACCTGTCCAATCCAAACACCTGGGACTGATCAAATTAAAGTGTTCATATTAGCAGGTGTTCTTATCTTCAAGTTTTATAAACATGTAAGTCAATGGAACATAACTAATCTGGGACCAAGAAAAAATGTCCACACTGAGAGGTGTTAAGAGAGTTTTTGCTGTATAAACTCTTAACGCAGAACTACTTTGTTCCATTGTATAATTTTTGACTGCAGGAATACCTTGAGCAGCTCCATAAGCTTCATGAAGACTGGCTGGGGCACCAACCCAATGTATTGGTGAGTCTTGTTTGCTTGATTGGTTGTTTGTTTACTTGTTCTTTTGTTTGATTAGTTTTTGTTTGGTGAAGCATGCAGTTAAAGCTATGATCTGCCATACAGAAATTAGCATTTTCTATTTTCCAATTTTTTATTGTTATTACATGGTTCTATGTAAGTTCATCTCTCTGGTTAATATATCAGAAACAAGTCAAATTCTTTACTTCAGAGAATATTTTTAATTTATTGAGACTTTCGACTAATATCCCTTAGTCTTTTTCAAAATATAACAGCATGTATACATTTATGTGACGTCATAAACAGACAATGGAAAATTTAATTATGTAACAAATGACCTAGTAACCTAAAAAATAACAACAACAAAAAACATAGATACGAAAAAACGAATGACCTAATAATAACCTTAAGATAAATATATCATCGTTATGGTAACAATTAAACTCAAATATTACTATTGCATACTTTGCTATACCATTCTTAATTTACAATATTTTATGATACAAATTGTCCAACTGATACCCATTATCTCTGTTCATTTTAGGTTGCATTGTTTTAATATGAATTGCTTCCTTAACCCTACGTTTAAGATCATGACTCTCATTATCAATGATTTTTACATTGTTCCAGTTTATATTATGATCATATTCCATGGAATGTTCAATAACCGCAGAAGCAAGACCTCCAGTCGACAGTAATGTGGGTCTACGATGTTCTCTGATTCTAGTAACTAGTTCCTGCTTTGTTTCACCTACATAAGTGGCAATACAGTCTTTACAATCAATTTTGTAAATTACACCGGACTTCTTTTGATCATTAGTTTTGTCCTTTAAATGCACCAACTGTTTCTTGATAGTATTCTGCGATGAGAAACATACTCGGACACGATGCCTTTTAAAAATACGCCGTAACTGGTTGGAAATACTAGGGATATACGGAAGAACTGCAGTACACCTTATATCGTCATCATTTCTTGTTCTGTTTACATTATTTGTCGCATGTCTTTCACCTTCTTTAATCAGCCATTCCTGGTACCCACACTCCTTTAATGATCGGCAAACCAGTTCCTTTTCTTTCTTTAGATCTTCCTCTTTAGTTACCAATGTTTCTGCCCTCCTAAAGAGGGATTTGACAACTCCTCTTTTAGTATCAAGAGAATGATTTGATTGGAAATGCAAATACTGATTTGTGTGCGTTGGTTTGCGGTAAACACTAAATGACAAAGATCCGTCTTGTTCAATCTGGGACATCGTATCCAAAAATGGACCGTCAAGTATTGGTGAACTTTTGAAATTTTGTCTTCAGACCACTTACTTTATTCGTGATAACCAATTTTATATTCAAAAAGAAGGTGCAGCAATGGGATCGCCCCTATCTCCGATCATAGCGAATCTGTTCATGGAAAATCTTGAAGAAAAGGCCATTGAAAATGCTCCAATTCCTCCAAAATTTTGGGGTCGATTTGTTGACGACACGTTTGTGATCATAAAGAGGGATGATGAACAATCGTTTAGTGAACATTTGAATAAACAACACGAGAGAATAAAATTCACCAAGGAAGTATGTTCCGCCGATAAACGTCTCCCATTTTTGGATACGATGTCCCAGATTGAACAAGACGGATCTTTGTCATTTAGTGTTTACCGCAAACCAACGCACACAAATCAGTATTTGCATTTCCAATCAAATCATTCTCTTGATACTAAAAGAGGAGTTGTCAAATCCCTCTTTAGGAGGGCAGAAACATTGGTAACTAAAGAGGAAGATCTAAAGAAAGAAAAGGAACTGGTTTGCCGATCATTAAAGGAGTGTGGGTACCCGGAATGGCTGATTAAAGAAGGTGAAAGACATGCGACAAATAATGTAAACAGAACAAGAAATGATGACGATATAAGGTGTACTGCAGTTCTTCCGTATATCCCTAGTATTTCCAACCAGTTACGGCGTATTTTTAAAAGGCATCGTGTCCGAGTATGTTTCTCATCGCAGAATACTATCAAGAAACAGTTGGTGCATTTAAAGGACAAAACTAATGATCAAAAGAAGTCCGGTGTAATTTACAAAATTGATTGTAAAGACTGTATTGCCACTTATGTAGGTGAAACAAAGCGGGAACTAGTTACTAGAATGAGAGAACATCGTAGACCCACATTACTGTCGACTGGAGGTCTTGCTTCTGCGGTTATTGAACATTCCATGGAATATGATCATAATATAAACTGGAACAATGTAAAAATCATTGATAATGAGAGTCATGATCTTAAACGTAGGGTTAAGGAAGCAATTCATATTAAAACAATGCAACCTAAAATGAACAGAGATAATGGGTATCAGTTGGACAATTTGTATCATAAAATATTGTAAATTAAGAATGGTATAGCAAAGTATGCAATAGTAATATTTGAGTTTAATTGTTACCATAACGATGATATATTTATCTTAAGGTTATTATTAGGTCATTCGTTTTTTCGTATCTATGTTTTTTGTTGTTGTTATTTTTTAGGTTACTAGGTCATTTGTTACATAATTAAATTTTCCATTGTCTGTTTATGACGTCACATAAATGTATACATGCTGTTATATTTTGAAAAAGACTAAGGGATATTAGTCGAAAGTCTCAATAAATTAAAAATATTCTCTGAAGTAAAGAATTTGACTTGTTTCTGATGTTATTACATGTTTTTACTGGCTCAATTATAAGATGTTATAAATAGATGTATGATCAAATGTCAAGTTTAGATTTCAAATGCAAATGAAAACTTCAAAATATTTGATTATCACATTTTTAGAAAATGAGAATATAAGTATTTAAGAAAATGAGAATATAAATATTGAAAGGAATACAAATTGTACCTGATTGTTGCATTCGTCCCTTTAAGATTGTTGGCTTAAATTACAAAATAATATAGTATTAAGAACGTTCAGTATGAAAAAATACTAAATATTGGTGACCGTCTTGGTTTACAACATATAAGCTGATTAGGTACTGTGGGTCGGGGTATTTTTAGAAAATAGACATGACAGGGAGAGATGTTGTGTCAAAAAGATTTTTTGAAAAAATGCTTTAACTATACATTCTATAAATTACAATTGTTAAGTTCTCATAGTTTAATAACAATTCTTGACATTTCAGACATTGGATGCAAATTGTGATCTTATTGAAATGAAGACAGAAATAGACAAGCACATAAAAACAATACTTTGCGGTCTAGTCACTTCCAAACAAAGTCACTCATCATCTGTGGACAGTGAGCACCTTCTGCCTGTCAGAAATGGTTTCAAACCCCATACAGCATTAACAAATGATGGCAATCTTAAGTCTTCAGCTCATTTAAAAGCCACAACAGGAGTTCTGAAGCAAGGGGATTGAAAAAGAACTTCTACTAAACATCACAGCTTCAAAATGATACAGTGGGGGCATAAGTCAGTGAGAATGCATCATTTGCTGTGAAATATAATTTATTGCTGTGCTATGATGATGTAACATGTGTACCACAGCTGGAGGCTGGAAGCTGGAAGGAGATCTTAGTTAAATGATTGGAGTACAAAATATGTATATCCAAAACGCTAATTTATTACAGGGTGCACCTCAGACAATGATGATCTCCAAAGATTTCACCAAAGACATGGTTTGGAAACCTAACATTTATATACTTGACAGTGTACACTAGTCACTTAAGTAATTTTAGTACTTCTTTTAGTAAGTTCTTTAGCAAACCCAAATCATACAGAAGTGGCGATTGCTTTGAATATTTGCAATCCATGTTACAGCTTATAACTTATATTTCAGATACATTTTTAGTAAATTCATGCAATCCTAGGGTTTTGAAGGACCCCTAAGATTTATCAAAATTATCAAAACGTTGTCCAAAACTTTTCAAACTTGAGGTACATGAAGATTTATTTCAGATTTTAACCCCACTTATACCGTTACACTATATTAGGTTTGAGAATGTGAGTTCCGTACTGGTTAGTTTTTTTTGTATTAGTCTTGGGAAAAGTTATTTTATAAGCTCCTCATTTAGCTGTTCTCTGTTACTCTAGTATTGTATTTTTTGTTGGAATTATTATTCATCTCTAATATTGATTGCCATGGAGGGAAGACAAGTCTTGTATCAGATATCCCACAATGTATCATGGCAACGAAATGAAACTTATATTTTTCTTAATTATACTTCTTACTATATTGTCTATTCTACTGATCATATGCAGTAGACAGTCATGTGCAATTTAAACTTTGATACATTTTAAAACTTAACATGTATGGTATACATGTAGTTCAATGTTGTGCTTTGTTTAGAAATAAACATATTAACTATTGTACTTTGTAACATTGATTTGTATTTATTTCGGACATGCATGGATGGTTTAAACGAAAACGAAAAAATCCTAAAATATTTGGTCATATACAAGGGCCGAGCAAAATATTCGCTACTTTTTGCTTTATTTTCTTTTAAAGGACGATTCTCGGTTTGGAGAACGAAGTTCATCAATCTAAATGAGCATTATCCCTGTTTCGGACAAATTTGATTTTTTTACATAATATAGATTTGAATGTCTTCATTTGAATAGTCATAATTTAATTTGGGTAATATTTCTTGATTTTTCGCAAAAGAATATCAGCGCAGTACACTGATGAACTTCTTTCCCCAAATCGAGACTTGTATTTTATTGAATCGGTCTAATTGAGCGTTATCCTTGCTTCAGACCAATTTGTTATTTTTACATCTTGTAGATTTAAATGTCCTCATTTGAATATTCATAGTTTAATTTGGGTAATATTTCTATATTTTTCCTGAAAAAATTATTAGCCCAGGAGACTGTTCTCCAAACCGAGAATCGTCCTTTGTTTATTTCCACTGAAATTTGGTACAGACATAGAGTGTAGAATTCCGCATCTTTTGATTCCATTTTCAAGCCCATTGCCAAATATGGCAAAAAATTATGGTTGTCATAGCAACGGGAGGAATGAGCCACCGGAGCTGCCCATAATTTTGACTGCAATTGCATATGCAACAATATCTTTATATGCCCATTTCTCATAACAAAAACATTCAGTTTGGGTAATTTTTATAAACATTGTTTACTGGACATTGATCCAATATTCAGAACAATGGTTGTGATGTCATAGATGTTCTTTTCAAACAATAAAGAGGTCACAATTGATCCGCATATGCAGCACAAAAGGGAGACTCTGCTTCCTGAGTTGCATCAAGAAGCAAGCATGGTAAATGCAGTTCGTAAAAAGCGCCCAGTATTGATCAACCATATGATATATCATCAAGATAATGCTCCATCACACAGGGCCCGTGGGGTAACTGATATATTAGCAGCTCTAAACATTGAAAATTTGATCATGCACCATACAGTCCAGACCTTGCATTGTGCGACTTTGAAATTTTCGGCAAACTGAAGAATGAGCTACGCGGGCAGAGGTTTGGTGACCGTGAAGAAGTGGTTGAGGCCGTCCATAAGGCCCTAAAAGACCTATATGGATATGGAAACGGACTGCAACAGCTGGCTTTCCCGATGTAGAAAATGCATAGCTGCAGATGGACACTATTTTGAGAATGAGCCATGGAATGAGGAGTAACTGTCTTAATTAACAAAAAGGACATTTTGTATAAAAGTTGTTTTCTGAAACATTGTCACAAATATCAGCTTCGGTGGTCACTATCAACCAATATTCAATGCCATGTAAAATATTACGGATGTAACCAAATAAATGCACATTTGGTGATATTACAGAAAAATGTTTTTTCTATTATTTTGGAAAATTTCAGGTAAGATACTTTATTATTAACAATTTAAGAGCAAAAAGTAGCGAATATATTGCTCGGCCCTTGTATTATACCAACAAATGTTAAACAGGCTATGCGCCTATTTTTGAATGAAAAAGGACAAAATATTGTTTGAGACATGTCACTCACACAGTCAATCAAATATGATAAAAATTTTAATATTGGGCCAATACTGAAGTGAAAAAAAATTACTTGCATAGAAAACAGCATTTGAAGTTCAGAGATTGAAAAAAGTGAATTACCACTTTTCACAAATAGTGTATGTTTTAAATAACTCTTGGATTAAAAGATAGCGTATGCTTGAAAATCCTGTCAAAAATGAATTGATAATTAATGCAAACAACAATGCCATCTTTCTATGGCATTGCTAAAAACTTGACATATAAATTGATAGATCAAAAATATTTTGTCATGATCAAGTGTCAACTCTGATGTGGTCTGTTTGAGCTTTTTTGGTGTCAAATGAAAGATCTGGTACTTATTAATCCATTGGAAATACTATGAAGATCAAAAGTGAGACTTCATTTACGCACTTTGTCCCTATAAAGGTTGGGAACAGCTCTGTTCTTGGGAAAAATAGGTCTGTTTGACGGCTGATATTCTGAATTTTAGTTTAGTTTAATAAAAAAGACAAATATGTTGTTGATGTACATGTTTAATACATTATTTCATGACAATTGTGGCCCTTTTAATACACGTCCTTTTATACGTTTTTGTTATGATTAAAAGTATTGAGTGTTTTTGTTGGAATCATGCAAGCATGACATGTTACATGTATCTTCAGAGAATTTTTCTAGTACGGTCACGAGCAATATAAATATACAAGTTGACATAAATGTACTTTATATTTTTTACTGTATCTAAAACAGATAGTGAACCCCAACACATCAGTGGTTAATTGTTTCTCATGACCTCCTCGATCCAATCGTAGAACGCGGAGACGTTCACCACAATACTGGGCCTTGTTCCTGCTGGCCAATATCCCCAAGATTGTAAACCTACAAACTCAACTTTCACGTGTTTGTTTTGTCACCACCACAATGGTGACACATTGTTATGGTTGCCAACGTTTTTGTGGACGGTGTTCGGCGGTTGGTGTTCGGTATCTGTAACAAATGGTAGGTCGTGACATATTACAAGCAAGAAGCAATTTACCCCATTAGATACTTCGTGGTACACCTTTTATTAATTCTTATTAATTGAATTCAGATATTTGAGACTTGAGCTCCTCTAGGGTTACCCTGAGTCTCAATGTTAAATGACATTTTACAGGCCAGAACAGATATCGAATGCATGCAATTTTGTTTGCAATAATGTTATTACAAATAAGCCTACCTAATAGTTGGAAACGTCCGTCGGCAGGTCGCCTAAAGAAATATGGACCCCCTGAATCGCCCTAAAAGGCAAAGCACAGTGCATCATCATACATCTATGGACATCTATCTGTGTGTTAACAAGTGTAAACAGTCTCAACGTTCACCGTGAACGTTGGAATGAAATATTGCCCAACGTTCCTAAAGCGGCCTTAATGTTAAACGATCAAAATTGAAACCTTGGTAAATTGAACTTTGGCGCTATTGAACTATTCGGCCGGTAGACTGGGCAAAAGTTTAGTTTTGGCTGCTATTTAATTTGGCGGATTGATCCATCAGGAAATGCGGATAACGGGGGGCTACGCTAGTACAAAAAGTTTTCAAAAAATTGGCGGAGACTTAATTTGGCGGTTTTTATCAATCCACCAAATTAGAATGGCCGTCAAGCAATTTTACAGTATATAGAAATATTTACATCTCCAGAGTCCTTGAGATCTCCTTGTACACAATACTCCCTATCCCTGAATAAAGGTCGAGGTGCAATGTCATCTTCACAAGGGTCTTGGGCGATTACTTGAAGGTCTGTGTACAGCAGCTGCTCGGGCGAGGGCGCGTCTAAAAAGTTTTGAAAATGTTGCCCTGAATTGATTGATACAAGTATATACATGTATACGATTAATGTAGTTTCCGCAACATCACAACAATTTTCAAAAGGTTTGAAGAGGGTGTACGTTTTTACACAGAGAGCAAAGTAAAAGTAGCTCTCGTATCTACGCCATCTTATAAAATGTTGTGAATGAGCACATAAAGTACTGTTTTTTGCATTGAAATGAAATATATTTTAATAGTCCTATGAAATTCCTTCTCAGTCTCGCGGAGAATCGCGGATGGCGATGTCAATAAAGTCACGAAACATTATCTAAGCTTATCTTGTGATCGGCCCATGCTGTACTTACTTCTTTCCTCATTTCCCCACCCTGCAAGTATCATTGTTTGACCAACGTACGTGTCATTGTCATTTCTAGGTGCAAGGCATATAGGACGCAGGTCTTCGTCGAATGTTAAGTTCTGAGGGAATTTGAACATAACGATATCATTCTGAAACAAGGAATAAGCACTTAACTCATCTGATTCAAAACCAAAAAATTTAAAATGATATAGTGACTAGAATTAATAGACCGAGACTACTAAATTCTTTTAAATTTATTTATAAATGAACATGTTCTGATACAAGACAAGATTTGGGCTGATTATTAGTACATTACATTACACTGGCCCACGCCACCCACCCCCCCCCCCCAAATGTAGGGCCTCAAAAATGGGCCTTTTTGGCCAAATTATAAAAATAGGCCTTAAATTTTCAAAATTATTTTCATTATACATTATTGTATAGAAAAAAAGTTGTTCCATTAGAGGCACGTGTATAGTAAAAATGGCAATTATTCGTGAGCGTTATGTCCCACCTCATATGTATTAGAATCGTAATCGGGGTGTCTGACGATGACCTCTGGTGTGTACTCCACTCCATCGTTGCTAGGTAGTCTCCAGTGATTTTTAACTACTATCCTATAGTCGGTGACTGGATCAGCCCTATACGAACCATATAGATATATTTTGCAAATACTCAAAATGCAAAATTCATAATTACATTACCAAATGGGTCTATGCCGGGCAACGGAGTATCGCGTTTTAATAACGGCTTCCAATCCACCTTGATGTGCGATAAATTGATTTATTGACTTTGTGTTCACGGTTACGTTGTGAAAAACATCGCTAGCGTAAAGTCTCATTTAGAGCCAACATCTGTATTTTACGCGTATGTACAATGTCTTGCACTAAAAGCCAATATTCGGTAACTTACGCGTCTGTACAATGTCTTGCACTAAGAGCCAATATATGTTACTTACGCGTCTGTACAATGTTTTGCAATGAGAACCAATATATGTAACTTACGCGTCTGTACAATGTCTTGCACTGAGAGCTAATATATGTTACTTACGCGTATGTATGCCTTGCACTGAGACCCAATATCTGTAAATTACGCGTATGTACAAGGTCTTGTACCTGGAGCCCATCTGTGTAACTACATGTAACGCGTATATGTACAATGTCTTGCACTGAGAGCCAATACTGTATATGTTACTTACGCGTATGTACAATGCCTTGCGATGAGACCCAATATCTGCAACTTATGCGTATGTACACGGTCTTGTACCTGGAGCTTATCTGTGTAACTTACGCGTATACGTACAAAGTCTTGCACTGAAAGCCAATATATGTTACTTAAGCGTACGTACAAGGTCTTGTACCCAAAGCCCATCTGTGTAACTTACGCGTATATGTACAATGTCTTGCATCGAGAGCCAATATATGTAACTTACGCGTATGTACAATGCCTTGCACTGAGAGCCCATCTATTGTTAATGAGGACAGCTCCACAATTTTGGTCCCACACGTTACCATTGAACCAATCCATCATCACCTAATTGAAGTACATGTATGACATTTATAGTGTTGTAATGCATTTGATCTACATTTGATCTACGGCAACCATGCGGCGGCGATAGGTTCCCAAAATCTGAGCCAAAATCAATAGAAATATGTAGCATAAAATGTATGGATAAGCTAGTCGATGTAGATTTTGAATATCGATTTTGTGCCATACGACCGCCGTAGAACAAATATGACTGAGGCTTAAGTAACCGCTCAACCGCGCCAATGGCTGAATTACTAATCAAAAACATCGTTTTTTGTGACTTCTTCAAATACTCAACCAACGAATGATCCCGGCGGCAACTCCACCAAACAGTCAATCAAAGATTTGGTAGCTCCTTCAAAAAGTCAAAAAATCTCATACCATCCATGGATACTCGTTTTCTCGTGCTTCAGTTCCGCCGACAATTCTCCTAGAACGTCCACCATCGACTGGAACTCGCCCGGCATCCGGGTACTTACTAACGCCACATACCTCCTCTTTTTCGAAGAATAACAATCAGTAACGTTAAAATGATCACGTAATGGTATATTAGTATGGGTTATAACAATCCATATACATGTAACTGTATATATAAGTTGTATGTACGGAACCGACACTCATTGTATGCAATTATTTAGTTGATAGAGTTATTTTTAAAAAACGATTCATGTAAATGTGTATTATTTCTTACCGAGTGACTGGCCTCTACATCCAGACAGTGCAAATAAGAAAAGTCCAATAATATACATTTCTAATACTCAATAAACTATAACATAAATTGATGATGACAATGAGACTGCAAAAATATATAGGTATTCTTTATTTATTTGATTCGTTTTTAAACCGTGCTCCAGTTAGATAAAATATTTTAAATTCGAGCATATTGCTACTTTCCCAGGACAAACTCTGCCTCAATGGCTTTTGCAATATCATCCTTGAAAATTTGATAAACGATCTCATTAGTTCATAGCAACAAAAAGTTTTAATTTAAAAATGTTGATCTTTGTTTTTGCTCTCTATTATTTCAGTGCTGTTGGATGCTTTGGCCAATCTTTAGGTAAGCCTTTCTGACTTAACTTTTGTCTACATAACACCTGGGGTAACTACGAGAGATATAAGAGGCAACATTGCAATGTGTATCTCAAACACCCCATGTATTTTTCATCATTTTTAATACAGACTATTCTTTTTAACTTCTTTATTATGTAGATGAGGTCTGCGGCATCAGTAAGTATCCAGATGCAGGGAGAGTACCTGTTGAAGGGGGTCGAACTCGAAGAATAGTAGGCGGAGTTCCTGCTAGGGAAAATGAGTATCCATGGGTGGTATGTATCACATTTGACATTATTTTGTTGTTTGTACAGTGTCGTCTTTTGACGCAAGTTACAATCATTACATAAACTGAAACTGTACATTTAGTTTTGCGATCCAATGGAGTCTATATTTGTAGATCTTAATGGATTGGTTTGATGGGAACAATTGGGACCAGAATTGTGGAGCAGTCCTCATTGATAACAGATGGGCGCTTAGTGCAAGGCATTGTACATACGCGTAAGTTACAGGGATTGGTTCTCAGTAAATACGCGCAAGTTACACAAATGGGCCCACTTGTACCACTGTTTTTACATTGTACATTCGCGTAGAGAAAATAGTGATGCAACATTGTTCATACGCGAAGTGACACAATTAGCCTGCATTATAGAAAGTGTAAACGCACGGGAAATTGATACCAAAATACTGAAAATATTAATTTAATTGTGAAAATTAAGTCTCATGACTGACACCCTACCATGTCGTCGGATGGCGAAATCACCCTGTGTGTCTGGCTGGGCAGTACGTCATTACCCGCAAACCAATCGACAATAGGATAGTTTCTAAATAGCAGAAAAATCAATGAAATCTCGTGCTGCCATCTTTTATTCAGCTTATAACTTGGGCTAGAGCTCCATTCATTTACATGCTAAAATCTTGGAAAAGTGGCTTAATTTCATGATTTATCAAAGTGTGTTTGTTGAATCTGTATAAAACTTGAATGATATACCACTTGATGACCCTGTTCATGTACATGTTGTGATTAAACATGCAAATGTTGATTGACATACAAATAATCCACGGATTTAAAGAATTTTAGCATTGCATCTATGGACATTTGGCCCAAGTTTTTTTAAATTGTTATAGAAAATTATTCAAATTACATAACTGTGTAAATCAAAGCTATTATAAGAGAAAACATTTCACTGAATTCAAATATGCCATTTAAAAGAAGGTAATGTAAGTCATTAGAGGTCTAATATGCAAGTCTCTTAAAATCTCACGAAAAACGAGATTTAGCGAGATTTCAAAAGCTATATGGAAACTATACTATTCCTGTCTGCATCACGATTCATTAAAACATTTTTGTCATACTTATCAAAATGAACATATTTATAAATTAACCTGCTAACGGTATTACGTCGTTTTCCCAATTAGGAATGACCCTGCGTCTGACTACGAGCTATACACAAAAAATCACTGGAGATTTCCTTCTAATGACGGCGTCGCTTACACCCCTGAAGTCATAATAAGGCACCCTGATTATGATGAAAACACGTATGAGGTGAACGTTTTTGATATTCACGCATATAGGCGTTACATCCTGTATGCAATAATACACAAGTACTTTAATATTGTCTGTGCACTGTGTGCAGTCATTCCCGATGAAACGTTCCACACCAATCATGATGTACTCAAATATATTTTTAAGAAAAATTGAACGATCATCATGCAAAGACCAAAATTATATCTTGCAGAATGACCTTGTGATGTTTAAATTCCCTCAGAATTTGACATTTGATGATGATCTCCGACCTATTTGCCTTCCACCTAGAAATGACAGCAGCTCTTATGTAGGGCAGACTGTCATCATCGCTGGATGGGGCAATGAAGAAAGAAGTATAGTTATTGCGCAATATATTAACATCTGTCTCACCTTTTGGAACAAATTAATGTTTTAGAAAAACAGCTTTATGCCTTTGCTTTTTCACAAACTAATATAATATTGTTCAATTTATTCGCAGTATGTAGCAAAGGATGTAATATTTTTTATTTACACAGTAATCGAAAGCATTCCTGCGTCAAAGATTACCCCTTCCCACTGGAATACAAGAAATCATTGATATTGTGAGACATACAAATGCTCCAAACATAAACAATTTATATAGAAAGGAAAGTATATGAAACGCATCTTTTAAGATGGTGAACGAAATGCACGATTATTTTTGTTTTTTAGACGGTCCATCTCCAGAGCAACTTCTTTACACTGACATGGAAGTTATAGATTATGACACATGTGCGCTGATGCTGATGCCCGATGTCGTCTTTCCAACTACTAACATATGTGTTCTTGGAAATGGCAAAGACGCTGGAGATGTGAGCATATCTTCTATGTTACCTTTACTGTATTTTACCATAGTCTTGCTTCAAGACTATGAACCCCCCCCCCCCCCTGTACGTTACCTTCCCAACAAAAGTGAAGGTGCAGTATACAGGGGGAGGTACAGAGACTTGAGGCTAGATTACTAATACTATTACCTGAGTAATGGGCATGTTGCATGTTATGACAATTTTCTCTATGCGTGATTTTCCTAGTGATTCCGTTTTTCCAGGGCGACTCAGGAAGTGTACATTTCTACAAGAGGCCAGATGGAAGATTCGAAGGCATAGGTAATATAAAATAAATTGTAATATATGTAAGAAACTATGTACATGTAAGTTTCTGAAACAGAAACACTCACATCCAAAGTAAGTTTGATATTGCAATGTTTTAGGAATCCAATCGTGGGGTCACTGGCCCGCAGGAGAGAGACCTAGTGTCATTGTGAGGATCAGCGAGTATTACGACTGGATTGATGAAGTTAGAGCCAACAACTAGATCAGCAGATTGCATATTTTCCTCTGTCTTTTGCCACCATAGATGTTTTAGTACTGATTTTATCACTGAACTATATTATACTTGTATAAGATAGAATTGTACTATATATTTATTTGCCGTACATTTACATAGAGTATTATTGTATGAATAATCTTCATTTTGAAAACACATTTTTACTTTTTAAACAAACAATAGACACTCCGTACAACTGGGAAAAGTATATATTCATTTACCATATTTATGAATAGTTTTCGTTATACAAACACAATTCTTTCTACACACGTTACAACTGGTTTTCACGTGTCCTTAGTATATCATTATACGATACAGTCCATCCTCCAATGAACTAAACAGAGAAGATATTTGGAACCATGCGTTTGGAGGATGGATATATTCTAATGATGAGTATGTTATATAAACTATTACAAATACTGATACAGTATATTAATTAAAACGAGGCGAGAACGGGAAATTTAGTAAAGTGCCGGAGCATGATATTTTACCAAGACTTTGAATTTATTTTTACCTAAAAATCTACTAAATCTCAGATTAAGTAATTCACCCCTCTCTCGAACAATTATTTTTCTGAAGGAATTCTAGGCTGTTCTGCTCCAATACGAATTTATTGAAAAACTATAATCCAAACGATCGTTTTCTTTGAGATAAACAGAGAAAAGTTAAACAAACAAGGTGTTAACATGTAAATTGTCACCACTTGTCATTTGTTACAAACGCCGAACGCCGCGCTCCAAACCCCGAACACAAACCGCCCAACTCCGAACACCGTCCACAAAAAGTTGGAGACCATAACAATATGTGTCCCACTTGTTGACATAAAATTGAATTCCTTGGTGAAGTTGTGAAGTATCTTGCTCCGACACTTTTTAAAAAGTACATGTAACTCCCCTATGATTAAGTCACACAACATATTAATTCCTGTTGTATGACTTGATATTTGAAAATGATACACAACATACATGTGTATTGAAAATGGACATCGCTTCCATTTGCAAAATTATTCAATATATAATCCAAGAAAATGACCCTGTAACCGAGGTTTCCTGTCAGAAATAGCAACCATATAAATATGGATATCGTTATAAAATGTTGTCACTTTTGTGCGATAAAATTTTCTAGTAAAATCCGAGTTGAAATAATTATTTATATTAGCTGGTTGGCACATCTAGGAGATTTGTTTCATCCATTAAAGAATATCTTGTGATTGTGCTCTATGCTCTTTATACAAGTAAACTGTTCCAGGTGCTATAGTCTCGATTTAGTTGGTAAACTTCTTGTAACTTGTTTAGCCAGTTGTGCTGCATGAACAGCAGTTCCCCATGAAAGGGTCACACCATTAGCACCATGTCCGTAATTGTGAACAACCTACACCAGAAACAAAACAGTGTTATAATATCGTCATCATGATAATCCATGACATCTCATTTCTTCTCAGCCCTGAGATTTTCAGGTGAAACAGAAAGATGCTATGAGTATCAGAATGTAATATCGTTAGCATTCTGGCCATAATTCTGAACAACTTTAAACGGGGATAATACATGGTTTGGTATTACAAGTCAGTGAAGGACATCGAATCACGGACTCTTATTACCGCTGACATATTTTATCCAATTTTTTTTACTCACTGGTAAAGTCTTGTTTCCAAACTTCATTTGTTCAATCTCCACCCTAACTGGGTGTCTAGTCGGTCTCAATCCTACCCACTGCCAATCCCATCTAGCTCCCTGTAATCGTTATGTCATTATATTGTATGTGTCACTATGAAGAAACTGGCCAAGTAGGAAATGTGATGGGAAACAATAGGTGAAGAAAGAATGAGTGACCCTCCTTCATATAAGTGTCTCTTGTTGCACATGCACTAGTGATAAGGCAAATTAATAACTTTAATTCACTTCAGGATTTACATATGTAACTCAATGATTTGTCAGTGAAATAATATCAGAGCTCTAGTTTATTCAGGGACGGGTCTGAAAACTAACAAGCTGGAGACCCAAATTTTAAGTCTGAAAAAATTGGCCCAAATGAAAATTTAAGGCCCATTTTCTTGATAATTTGGGCTAAAATTAAAAAATAGCCATGGGGCCTTAAAAATGTTTGTTTTGGTGCAATTCTTTCTGGGCCCATCTTAGGGGGAGGGGCTGGGTTAGTATTTAGAGGTTATGTCACTATGACGTGAAATATGCCTGAGTTCTCCCAATATAGGCCGACCTTGGGAGGCTCTATATTTGGGCAAGAACGAAGGCATGTTCCACGTCATAGTGACATAACTGATGTATTACATGCCTTTGTTCCCATGGTTACTTTGTATCAATGACGTGACGTCATGATATTATCATGGTTATTAAAGAAATCTAATATCAAAACGAGGTAAGCGGGCTATATCGGGGTAATCGGGCAATATCGGTGGATATAGCTCGCTAACTTTCCCATCATTGACTTCCATACAAATGCTTCGCTAGGTATGTAATACACAAATAAACGATATGTACATATCACGCACAAAGCATTCAGTATCCTCTCCACATATGGCTAAACAGTTTTACTAAACGAAACAGAAATCAACTGCAGACATTTTACATCCAACCGGCCAGGTTTCATCCAGTTTTGCCATATTTTGCTAAACTATTGATTGAACTCTTCTACATTAACTATTGATGATTACATATTTAGTGAGGCTACTTACCTCTATCGATGGAAGCAGGTTCTTACACCTTTCCCAAACTCCATTTGTGTCTTCAGCATCCAGTTCCTTGTTGTAATTGCCCGCCTGTCGTGTTCCTCCTAATACCACATTGTCTTGACTAAGTGGTGAAAGACATAAAAATTAGAGAAATAGGAAATAAAGATAGAATGAAAATCATAAAATTAGAAGAATGGAAAATGAAATAGGCAGGAAAGCATTCGATTAGAGAAATTGTAGAATAAAGATAGAGAGAAAACCACGAAGCAGGCGAAGCGTTTGCTTGGTCATTACATAGAACAATACTAATTTTAGACATTCATTTCAATAGATTAAATGCGAGTAGAAATAATCTTGATTTACGTCATTAGTAGCCCCAATGTTATAAAATCACAAAAATGAGATATCTTTTCTTGTATTGAACAGATATTTCCTTGAATTGGACATATCTTATTTTTTATAAATATCAGATACATAAGGGCAACATGAAAAATGAACCACTAAAACTGATGAATGTTCAAGTTTAAATGAACTTCTGCCATGTTATTTCCCCCAAATTAGCCACCTGGTGGTGAAACTGTGAACAACCTATTCGCACCTGGGTTATTGGAACAGCTCGGTAAGTCGAAGAGGATTTTACTGCCTCTAACTCGAATTTGCCTCACCTACAGTATTTAGATTTGCCTCACTATTTGGATTTCACTGACCTTGACCTTTTGACATTTGCCTCGCATACGGATTATCAATGAATGTCTGATGACAAACGATCAGTTGCGTAATCGTTTTCAAGATAAAGCCAAAGTTACAATAAATATTGAAATGTGTAACACTCATATAATTACCAGGGCAGGATATATGCCATATCGTCTGTGTATATAAAATGTTTCACCCATGGTGCGTGTGCCTACAAAATGGAATGTACTCAGTTGAAAAACGAATGTAAGTCACTTGCTTGGACCTCATCTCGATTGAATATTTAAGCATTAAAATACACAGATGCAAGCCAAGAGAATGTTAAAAACTTGGATTAGATTTTACGTAGAAATAAATATAAAAAGCACCCTGGCTCGTTGCAGCAGCTACATTTATAAATAAATCCATACTTACTCACTTCGAGAGCCATGTTAGATTTTGAAACTTATTTTATATCAAAATCCAAATAGCTTTCGCAGGAAGTAATTCCATACTATACACGTAAGTAATATGATTACCCTTATCCCGTTCCAGGACTATAGTCCTGTACGGAGCCCATACATTTGCCTGTACGATTACAACTTGGGAGAATTATCTACGCCCCTTCCACCAGAAGCACTCGATGCCGGATACTCATCAAACACGTGCTAAAAATTAGCACGTGTTTGAGGTTGATCAAACCCGTGCTAAAGTTTAGCACGTGTTTGGGGTTGATCAAACCCGTGCTAGAATTTAGCACAGGTTTGAGGTTCGATCAAACCCTGGGCCTCAGATCAAACCCGTGTGTGAAGCTCCAAGTGTTCCGGGCTACCCAAGTATTCCGACTCCTGCCGAAATATTCTGAATTGACCCAAGTATTCTGGGTTTACTTATTTTAGCAAATACACTCGATATGATGATTTTTCAATTTCTAATCCAATTTTAGATTTCTACAGAGATGACTGTTGAAATTAAGTTAATCAAATCACTTATAATGTGGCTGTCTCATGCACAAAAGATTTTCCTTTTTTTATATATAACTACACTCCCCTCCATAAGTTTGGCAACCTTAGCTCCCCCATTGAACTACGTGTTAAAGCCTCTTTACGTTTGAATTTTTATTTACTTAACCGGCGATGAGATAACTTATAATATTAATGGAAACGTAACTTGACCTTATTTTCAATACCTCCAAAATTTCTAAATTTTTTCCTCAATCAGAATAGGTCGAAAATTGATGATAAATTTAATGAATTTTTGAAAATCGTCATTCCCATGTATTTCAATGGGAAATGGAGGGTTCGGGCAAATCAGAAATCAGGATATATTTTCAGTAAAAGATTCAGCAAAAAAAATTTATATAGAAAATTGAATTGTCTAACTTTTTTGTACACTAAGTGTTTAGTTTATTTGATGAATACTAAAGTTACAGCGCTTCAAAGTCATTTTTGAAAATAATTTTTCGCCTCCTGAGTTATTTTAATGGGAAAGGTTTATTGAAAAACTATTTTGACTTTAAAGCCCTACAACTTTGTTGAACCTGAAGAAACATATCAATTTTTTGTTAAATAAAGTTAACAAATTCAATTGCCTGCCTTATTCGTATTTTTTGCAAGGACTCGGATGGATGGATATTCTGTCCTATGACTTGCGGCAAACCTATCATTTCCCATTGGTTAACATGGGAATGTCGATTTTCAAAAATTCATCAAATTTATCATCAATTTTCAACTTATTGTAATTGAGGGAAAAAATTGAGAAAATGTTGAGTTATTGGAAATAAAGTCAAATTACGTTTCCGTTAATAGTATAAGTATTTTCATGGTAGGTTAATTCAAAGGTAAAGAGGCTTTTAACACGTAGTTCAATGGGGGAGCTAAGGTTGCCAAACTTATGGAGGGGAGTGTAACAGGGCACCCATTGAGGAGTGTCAAATCCCCGGGTGTTCGACCTTTGCACCATGGAACACTCCTGAGCAATAGGATATTTGGACAGAATATATCGATATATGTAGACTGGGTCTCAGTTTCAGGAATACTAAGTATTAGAGGTGTAACTCGCCAGAAAAATCCAACTCGAGTTCAACTTGCCAAATATTTCCAAAACTCGAGTAAAACTCGAGTTCATTCATTTCGTCCAGTACATATTGTAAACCCGGGTATACAAAATTACTTTAACTTCAAGCGGCAAGTTTCTCTGGTTTAGTCACATCTAAAAGGTGTTTAACACGTTGGGGCCATAAGAAAGTGTGGTACTCATTGCAGTTTTCTCATATTTCAATCAAAAATGATCTGGTATAGACGTCGCCGCATACGGTAAGGACGAGAGATCGCTAGAATCTAACCAAACAATATTTTAGAAAACCCAGAAGGGCCCCTCAAATTAATGAATGGTTTTCCCGGATTATCTTCATTATTTATACTAAAGACTGCTGGTTATCTATCTAAAGTTAAGACTTATGATCTTAATTTAATGATAGATCATATTTTTTATGTAAGAGTCGTGTAAACGACGTGAGAATAAGGTCACCATTTTTATTCAATTTTAGTGACTACTCTATTATCGCCCGTTGAGTTCCTTCGATAGTCGATCTTTTTCTGATTTTTTTGGTGTAACTCGTCATTCCACGATATTTGTTGAACTTTGTGAAGCTTTGAGAGTGTTTTTTAGGTGACGGGAGCTAAATATGGCGATCATTGGTATATTTATTCCACTAATGAAGTAATGTTGCACGATCTCTGGGACCCGAATTCATTTTACATGCTTGCAAGATAGGCGAAACTCGCGAGTTGACTCGAGTTATAGCTAGCTCGCGAGTTGAAATAGATTGCGAGTTTCTAGAGGACAACTCGAGCCAATGTATAGGCAGCTCTGACGAGCTGTACTCGAGTTACTGACTCGGGAGTTACACCTCTACTAAGTATGTCTCAACTTGTTCAGGAAAATTGGCCTTTTGAAAAAATGGGTGCGTATTTCTAATAATGGACAATTTTTCGACATTTTCTGGCTCTCTTTCTTCATCGTGGGGCACTTTTAACTTTTGGCACCCTCTCTTGTGAATTTTAAGATATTATAAAATATGTGAACTCGGAACACTTAGGTTGTCAGAACAGTTGGGCAAGAGACAGAACACTTGGGTAGCCCAGAACAGTTGGGCTTTCACACCCGTGCTGGAATTTAGTTCGAAGTCCAACCGATAGAGGCGCTCCTAACCCGTGCTACAAATCCAACCAATCAGAGCGCTCTTAACCAGTGCTATTTTGCCGAAATATCTTTCTGGAAGTCTTGTACCGTTAGTTTGTAATCAATATAGCCGATCTGAAGGTAAGAAGTTGCCCAAAGTGAACAAGACTAAGCGAGGATCAAACAGGGTAATGATTTTTTCTTATAAATTCAACATAAAACTTGTAATTTTCCCGTTAAGTGAGTATGATGAATTATCGCCCATTGATTTTGATTTTCAAAAAATTTCACTGCGTCAGTTAAACCTAAAAAAAAGAAATTAAAATATCATTATGCAAAAATATATGGAAAATATATTCCTATTGTACATAAATGACTTTCGTTTATCTTGAATTAGTTCTAGTTTGGCTAATAAAGTGTGTGGCCTCTTATATGTTGATGCTTCTCGAGACCCTATCTACAAGACTTACATGACTGGCACAATCGTCACCATGTTATCAAGTATTTTTATGGAGACCCTATCTGTTGCAAGACCTATGCCTGGCACAACCGTCACCATGTTATTAAGTAATTTTATGTTTCGCAAGGATCCTGCCATGACCGTGGAAGTGTTATCGTGATAGCCTGGTATAACAGTGACAATGCTATATTATATCGCATGGTCTGTCATGACCGTGGTAATGTTAAAGCCTGATATGACCGTGACAATACTATACTATATTGCAAGGCCTGACATGACCGTTGTAATGTTAAAGCCTGATATGACGGTGACAATGGTTACAAGGCCTGTCATGACCATCATAATGTTAAAGCCTGATATGACCATGACAATGGTTGCAAGGCCTGTCATGACTGTGGTAATGTTAAAGCACAATATGACCGTGACAATGGTTATATTAGTGACATTTAGTAGCATGAGAATACTGTAATCGAAAACGTCATCATTTATCTACCTTAAATATGTAAATCTAGGATACTACTACTACTTTAACTCATAATTCATTTCCACAAACTATAATTCTAATCTCATTCAAGAACGTGAACATTGTCACAGTTATATCAGGCTTTAACATTACCACGGTCATGACAGGCCTTGCAATATAATATAGCATTGGCACGGTTATACCAGGCTTTCACGATAACAATACCACGGTCATGGCAGGATTCTTGCGAAACCTAAAAACACTTAATAACATGTCGACGGTTGTGCCAGGCATAAGTCTTGCAATAGATAGCATGTGTTTTTATGTTGCACAATGATCCTGCCATGACCGTGGTAGTGTTATCGTGAAAGCCTGGTATAACCTTGACAATGTAATATTATATTGCAAGGCCAGTGTCATGTCCGTGGTAATGTTATACCCTGATATGACCGCGACAGTGCTTTATTATAAATAAGGCCTGATATGACTGTGACAATGTTTCTCGTTCTTGAATGAGATTAGAATTATAGTGTTCGGAAATGAATTATGATTTAAATGATTCTAAAATTTTATGTATCAATGTACGTGAGTACCATGTTCATGTATAGAAGTCTAGATTCACATATTTAAGGTAGTTAATCATTCTATGAAATTTGCAATGCTACTAAATGCTATTTAATATAACCATTGTCACAGTCATATTGTGCTTTAACATTACCACGGTCGTGACAGGCCTTGCAACCATTGCGACTGTCATATCAGGCTTAAACATTACCACAGTCATGACAGGCCTTGAAATATAATATAGCATTGTCACGGTTATACCAGGCTTTCACGATAATACCACCACGACCATGGCAAGATCCTTGCGAAACTTAAGAACACTTAATAACATGGTGACAGTTGTGCTAGGCATAAGTCTTGCAATAGATAGCATGTGTGCTTCTCTGCCATAGTATTTTCAAAAAGATACATTGTAACATGGCTGAAATTCATTATAAGAGGGCACAGGGTTATTGCACAAAAAAACTAAATAATCTGAAATATCCAAATGTCATTCATGTACAATATCAATATGCTTTTCCAAATATTATTGCACAATTGTCTCCTGATTTCTTATTTTTGG